GAAGCTAAAAGATTCACTTGGAGGAGAAGCAAACCTGACATACACTGCCGCCTAGACTTTTTTTTGACAAGCTCTGGCTTAAGCTTAAGTACATCTATCACCAATGCAGACATACTACATGCTGGGTACAAAACAGATCACTCTTTAATATCTATTCATTTGGCAAATAATGCAAACCCGAAGGGCCCGGGTTTTTGGAAATTGAACACCTCTTTCCTGTTAGATGAAGAAAATGAATATGCGAACAATAACGAGATTGATGCCATTCTATTATGGGACACCATGAAGATGCAAATTAGGTCAAGCTCTCTAAACTACGCAAGGAGAAAGAAAGCTAAAATGAAATCACTTGAGTTAAAACTTGCATCTGAAATATTGTCTCTCCAAAAGGAGTTACAAGAAAACAACATTTCTGAAAATGAGAAAGTCCAGATTTATAGTGAAATAGATTTCAAAATATAAAACTCGAGGAGCAATATTAAGATCCAAGTCTCTGTGGCATAATGAAGGAGAGAAAAATACAAAATACTTCCTAAACTTGGAAAAACGACATTTCAATAAAAAAAAAACATCAAACACCTCACATCAGCAAATGATAATGTCGTCAATACAGATAGCGAGATCCTAGAAGAAGCAAAATCCTTCTATCAGAATCTTTATTCTTCAGCTAATACGCAACCCGACACTAAGGAAGAAAATATGTTTTTCCCAGACGGAAATACTCTTATCCTAAATGAGCAAGAGCAAAAACAGTGTGAAGGCTTCCTGACTGCCTCTGAATGTTTAGAAAGTTTAAAGTCGATGGAATCAAACAAGAGCCCTGGAAGTGACGGCCTCCCAGCCGAATTCTATAAAGTCTTTTGGAATGACATCAGTCAGCATCTGCTAAAAGCCTATAAATTGTGCATATACAAAAGGTCTCTTATCGATTACTCAAAGAAGAGGATTGGTGATTACTCGATCTCATACTAAAGAAGAACAAACCGACCAACCTGCTAAAAAACAGGAGGCCTATGACCCTGCTTAATTGCGAATACAAAATAGCCACCAAATCCATTGCAAGTAGAATACGAAAGGTACTACCAAAGATAATTAACAACGTACGATCAAACTGGTTCTCTAAAAGGCCGATTCATCGGAGAAAACATCAGACTTATTGATAGTATTATTAATTACACAAATACAGAAAAAAAGGCCCGGTCTACTACTGTTTGTCGACTTCGAAAAAGCCTTCGATAGTATTGATTGGTCCTTTATAGAAAAAACTCTGAAGTACTATAACTTTGGAACCTCTCTGGTTACTTGGGTAAAAGTATTTTATACCGATATCAGCAGCTGTGTTCTGAACAACGGATGGTCTTCGGACTTTTTCAACTTAGGTCGCGGTGTGAGACAGGGAGGCCCGCTGTCCCCATATTTATTTATTTTATGCACTGAAATACTAGGTAATACAGTAAGGAAAGATAATAAGGTCTTTGGAATAAAGATTTTTCATACTGAGTGTAAGTTATCACAATATGCAGATGACACGACTATGATTTTGGATGGCTCCAAGTTCTCCTTTTTGAGATCTCTGTACTTACTTGATGCTTTCGCTTCCATATCGGGTTTGAAGGTCAACTATGAAAAAACTGAAGCCCTCTGGATTGGCGCCTCTAAAAGTTCTAATCGCACTTTCCCTTCAAGTAAACCAATAACTTGGGCAAACGAGAAGGTCTTCGCCTTGGGACTGTGGTTTTCGACTTTGGAAGATAGGCCTCTTAATTCTAACTTTATTGAGAAAATTGAGAAAATAAGGAGTATCTTAGATAATTGGTCGGCTAGAAGACTGACCCTCTTGGGTAAAATTGCAATCATAAAAACTCTAGCCGTATCACAAATACTACTTTTTGTCATCTCTTCCAACACCTTCTGACATACTCAAGACAATCAGTTCTATAATGTACGATTTCCTTTGGGACGGTAAGGGCGATAAAATCAAAAGGACGACAACGATAAATAATTACGCGAAAGGAGGACTTAAGATGTTAGATATTCAAAGCTTTAATGAATCCTTGAAAATGAAATGGATCCAAAGGGATCTAAATGAAGAAAGTAAAGGGACGTGGAAACTTTTTTTTGACCATTACTTAGAGAAGTACTGTACGGAGGAAAACTATTTTTCCGAAGCAATTTGAAACAGCAAGATTCCACACTGCTCAACTCATGGACCCTTTCTAAAAAGAAATCTTACAGTACTGGACAAAATTTAATTACAAAGACGATAACCTCGATTTCGCCTCCACATATATATGGTACGACTCTCACATTAGAATTGAAAATCGTCCATTCTTAATCTACAGATCATGGTTGAGCGCGGGGATAAAGGGGATTAGAGATCTGTTAGATAACAACCAGAATTTTCTAAGCTATAACGCCTTCATAGATAAATATAGCATCAAAACCAACTATCTCGAATATCACAAAGTGATATCTGCTGTACCACATTACAAGAAAGTACACTCAACAGGGTATCATGAGCCAACTCCAAAGGATCCAGTTGATACCCTTCTGTCTCACACCAAAGTTTCCAAGAAAATTTATGAATGTCTATAAGAAACGAAAAAGCTTGCATACCATCAAGGAGTTAGGGAAAGTGGTTGGAAGAGAGGGACATAAATTGTAATCTTAGTATAATAGTAAACTGGGAAAATACGTACTGTCTATCATCTCTGTGTACAAGAGAGTCAAAGCTTATAGCGTTCCAATTTAAATTCCTTCACAGAAAAATAGCCACAAATGACTTTCTGTACAAAATAGGTATCAAACAAACAGATTCCTGCTTCTTTTGGGAGGAACAAAAAGAAACCCTCGTTCATCTATTCTGGACTTGCAAATACACTCAGAACTTCTGGAAGAGCATGTTCGAGTGGATCTCTCAAAATTTCAAAGATTTAGAAAACGTCTCTCCCTCCTTGTCTCTCTGTTTCGGTCTCACTGACGACGTAAAAGACCTCTTTCATCACCTACTCCTTATAGCTAGACATTACATATACACCTGCAGTAACCAGTTACTGATGACGAAATTTGGAAGAATTTTGTGTTTAACGAGGAAATGACGTCAAAAATGCAGCCCGCTACAGGTTAAGGCACCATTACCGAGAAGACCTGGGGACGAGGCTGAGTTGTTTTGGTTGTGACAAAAAAATGGTGAACATATCACTCCTTTCAAGAGTAAGAAGTACCGCCGGAACTAGGCAAAATAATAGCTAAAAACATGGCAAAAACAGCAAGAAGACAACTCGGAGGGCGACATCTACTATTTCGAGAATATTTGCGGAGATGCAGGTGAGCAGTTTTTAGCTATGTTTTTAAACTAGGAGTTATTTTGAATGAATAATAAAGCAATTAATGCATTCGGCTTTCGTGGGATATGAAGAATTAAGCAGTTCTCGGAGGCTGTTATCCACCTCGGCCGTCGACCTCGGTGGATAACACCCTCCTCGATCTGCCTCATTAATTCTTCATATCCTACTCAGCCTCGTTCATTAATTGCTAATCATAAAACTATTTAACAGATGCGCTACAAAGCCAATCTGTTGGAAAAGGTATATAGGGCGACATCTTCTATCTCTTGGATACTAGAAGAGAACAAATAACACACTTCATTGAACAAGGAATTAATCACTACGCTTCTATTAAATTTAAAGCGGAAATCTCTGAAAACGAAATCTCACTTCTGGATACAATTGTGTACAAAGGGGAAAGGTAAAGGCTTGATGAAAGATGAGACTCTCCGGCTACTAACAAATTTCTCAAAAAAAAAATGTTCAAAAAATACAAGAAGAATTTTAAAAGCATCTTAACTAGAAAGAGATCCACAGGATTTAATATATCTAAACCTCTCTGAAATACACTTTGAAAACAGGAAAGAGGCACTAAAACGTTCAAGAGGAAAATCATTTTGTCCTTTGTCACACAATATCAACCATCAGTTCCTAACCTTACACACATTCTTATGAAACACTGGCAAATGATAGAGAACCAACCTTTTCTAAGACAGATCTACAAAGAACCTCCAATTATATCATACAAATGAGGACGGTCTCTAAAGGATATACTAGTAAAAGCTTGACTATGAGAAAGGCTTAACTGACACATTCGTCGAAGGCAGGAGTCAGGCTTGTCAACCATGAAAAATAAAAAAGTGAAAAATAAAAACTGACATCTCAACCGCAAGGGAAAATGGCGAAGTGAAAATCAAAAAATTAAAAAAAAATGGAAAAGTGAAAAATAAAAACGAAACAGATCGGTGACTCCCCTGGGCTTCCGTATTTTACGGTTATCGGCTAAAATTTTGGCTTTTTTACGGCTATCGGTTAATTTTTTTCGGTTACGGTAAACAAAAAAGTTAAAAGTTAACTTCTTTTGTTTCAAAGAGTTAAATATTAAATAAACCTCTATTTTTGTATATTTAAAGCAAATAAAGATCCTAGGATAATCTCAGGATGAATTTAGAGAAAATGTATGGGCTTTCTTTCCCCAGGGACAAAGCAAACTGTCCTTAATCAGTAACGAGCTGGCCGTATTGGGTATTAAGCGGGGTTTCATTGTACTTTTAACGTATGCCACTTCTAATATTATTTTACCTGTTTTACACATAGAGATGTCAAGAGTTAATTTAAAAGAATCTTTGTGAAAAAGCAAAGCATACACGCGAACGCCCATCTCGCGGCCGGGGCGCGACATCCAGTTATAACAAAATAACCAAATTAGCGAAGGCCAATCAGAAACGGAGAAATAGTTTAAAAGATTGATGATAATGGTTAATTTTTAAGTAGACCAGTAAAAACTAGTAAAGGTTGGCCGGGACGCTATTGTTCAAAACTTAAATAAATTATTCTCACCATTTTTTGCAGGCAAACAGTTTTGAGTAAGAGCAATAAAATAGCTTGGGTGAACAATCTAAGTGGACCCTGCTGTGTTCACAACTGAAGGTTTTTCATCTGCTAGAGACGGCAATGGAATTAGAAGAAAAAGTAAGGATACTCAAAGAACAATTCAGTTCTTTGCCAGGGATCCTTATCAAAAAGACTCTTTGTAGCGATGACATTAATGAAGACCTTGAGAAATGCAAACAGCGGTTGCAAGAATTTAACAAGCAAATTAATAATCCATCTCTTAGGAGTACCTCAGTAGGCACTACAACGGGATTACATGATCCGTCACAGGAAGGGTGTGTCAGCACAGACAAGGCAGAAGATCTTTCTGAAAATAGTTTGGAGAATCGAAATGTAAAAGGTAAGCATAGCACCCCAAAGAGGGGAACAGTAAATCTCAAACGATAAATATGTTAACAGCATAGAAGACCACTATTATACGACTTGACCAAGCAAGCTGCCCTGTCTCCATGTGTGTACTAAATCGGCCTCGTGTTCTTTCTATTCGCTCTGGTTTCGCTTTATATTTGCCCTGATTTTAGTTTTTATGATGATTTTTAGACTTTTTTCTATTATTCACATAGCTCATATAAATCTCGTTCTTTATTAAGTCAGGGTGATTGGGATCGTTCAGTCCTGTGACACTTTTAGGCAATAGTCAATTGTGTTATGGTAGGAAGCTTTGCTGAAACAGAAAAGTCGGACATTTTTCTTTTTAATTCTTGTTCTTCCCTTTTATCTTACTTTTCTCCCTCTTCTTCTTCGTCCTCTTCTTCTTCTTCTTCTTCTTCTTCTTAATATTATTATTATTATTCTCCTTTTTCTACGCCTTTTCCCTTTTCGTCTGGCTTTCCACTGTCAGTTAGCAACCCTTGAAAAGGACCCTTTAGATGATTCAGAAAGCACATGCATTCAAAACCAAGATATGGGAAAACAATACTGCTATGTACATTTTAGGTGGCTTGTCCTCCTCTTTCAAGTCTTTTGCTGCTCCGAATCCTTGTGGGTGGAACAACGCTACCACGTTTGTAGAACAAAGACCTCTTGATAACTGCAACGTGAAGCCTATGTTCTCAGCCCCCAAACTTGAACAACTATCGGATCTAGCAAAGATGATGTCGCAGAGTCCAGGAATCATAGCCGAGAATCCCAAAATGATGGTTCCAGATCCTCCCAAACTTAAATCCCAGTCAAATGCTATTAACAGTGGCAAACACAGCGTTCATGAAACTTGCCTGAATCCTTATGCAAGCAAAATGGCATTTGAAAAACAAAGATATCTTCATAACGGCGACGTGAAACCTACGATCTCATCAGTTCGGAAACTTGGAGAAGTATCGGATCCAGCAAAGATAATCACACAGAGCCCAGCAGTCATATCCAAAGGCAAAAGGATGGTCACAGATTCCCCGAAACCTAAATCCAAATCAAATGTTAATCTTCATAATAACACGGAAAAGGTGTCGCGTCCTGAAATAATGCGCACACAGAAAGAAGAGTTAGCCACTACTGTAAAGAGGAATGCCCCTAGTCCCCCCAAAACCAAACCTAAACCAGCCTGGAGGACAAAACGAGGTAAGACAAGAGCCCTTTAATTTATGATAAGACATCAAGGCAGAAAACAGAAGAAGAATTTTTTTTCAGGAGTAAGAAAGTTATTTCCAGTGATGAGACGGGTCAGCCTTCCTAATGAAATGCGGTGGACTAGAAAGAAGGTTTTCACACTGAATCTTATGTTTCGTATTGGAGAGCGCAATATACGTTAGGTTCTAGGCGTGTATATTTTGCCTTCCTTTGTTATTCGAGATCAAGCAATAAAATTGTGCTTCAAGTGTAACTATCAAGTTTTACCGAAAGAAATCTACAACAGCATAAGATGCATGACGAGTTTAACTTCCCTGGAGCCGCTTCCGACAACCCACGAGCCCATACAATAATACATCTGCCACCACAGTTATATGTTCGTGGCAACAAGGCCAGTAAGGGTCCCACAAGCTTACACCTAACATTAGTCCTATGAAGAGTTGTACTATCATTTCTACCTTTTTCTTTTTTACTTTTTTTGGGGGGGTGTTGTTGAAAAGGATATATTCGGCTTTTAGATGTTTAACTTTTTTTATTCCGTAGTGCAAAACGAGGTATATAAGCAAAAAAAGACACAAAACAGCGGAGAAGATGAACGGCACTCCAGTGAAAGAACAGTATCTGATGCCACCTCTAATGCCAGCGTGAATACTCAAGAATTAGAGGAGAAGATCAAAAAGCTTAAGGAGGAATTCCCTCGTTCGCCGAGAGTCCTCATTAAGAAGACTCTTTGTAGTGATGACGTTCAGTGTGATCTTGTGAAAGCCAAAAGACGGCTACAGGAATTTTCACAAGTGGACGATCCATCTCTCAAGAGTCCTGTGACAACTGAGTTCATCTCGGACAACTCAAACAGAGATCCGCAGATGAACAAAGGGAAACCTCATTCAGGTTTGTAAATAATGAAAAAAGTTGCTATGTAAGTACTGGAGACCATATTTTTTAGATTTATCGCCCTTAATGTTTCTGTTCATTTCCTTATGAAAAGGACTCTAGCGGAATTGCACTCCTTCATCATTCGGAAATGTTGCAATTCGAATGGAAACATTTGATTGACGTCCACGGCAACTCAGGCTCCAACCAACCTAGAAAAAAACCTATCAAGGGAGTGTGTTATTGGAAACCGCTGTACGTTCTACAAGTATATTCCGCCTTTCCTTGTTAGTCGATATCTAGGACTAAAAAAGTAGCACGGGTAGTATAAAGTTATCCTGAAGAAAATCTAAAACAACATAAGATAACGACTCGGTCGAACCCTGGATTTAAGTTGCCAGGAGTTGTGTCCAACGAACCCATGTAAAGAAGCTCGGATATTATTCATTATTTTTAGTTAGAATAGTTCAGCTCGCTCGAACAATATTTTGCTAGTAGCGACCAAAGGACAATATGCACAGATTATCTTGAAGTTGGTCTTCTGGGAAGAGGTGCATGTGTTGTTGTTGAGAAGGATGTTATGTGTTTTAATCTTTGTATTTTTATCGTATTCCGGGCTCCTAGATGGTTAACTTTTTTTATTCCATAGTGCAAAACGAGGTATATAGGCAAAAAAAGACACAAAACAGCGGAGAAGATGAACGGCACTCCATTGAAAGAACAGTAACTGAGGCCTCCTCTAATGCCAGCATGAATTCTCAAGAATTAGAGGATAAGATCAGAAAGCTCCAGGAGGAATTCCCTCGTTCACCGAGAGTCCTCATTAAGAAGACTCTTTGTAGTGATGACGTTCAGTGTGATCTTGTGAAAGCCAAAAAACGGTTACAGGAATTTTCACAAATAGACGATCCATCCCTCAAGAGTCCTGTGGCAACTGGGTTCGTCTCAGACAACTCATACAGAGATCCACAGATGGGCAAAGGGAAACCTCATTCAGGTTTGTAAATAATGAACATAGAACATATTTTCAAGATTTCTCTCCCCTACAAGTTTCTTTCCATTACCTTAAGCAGATTCGAGACGTAATCCAGTCTTGAGTCTCTATCCAAGGCAGTGATGATTGGAGAAGGCGGTAACTGAGCCGACATTTTCAGAATTTTGCTCTCTTTAATTTTCTTCGGCAGCTTTTACACTTCTTAACATTTCAAATCTGTTACTCCGAGATCATGTTATGGCATATATATTATTTGTCACTTTAACTTGAATTGTAAATCTCCTGAACAAATTCTGTGGAGTTATGATAATTCAATTGAAACGCCCCTTTGGCAGAAATTTTACATGGTACCATTTGTTTCATATCTATAGGATTTTGCAACAAGAATATCATTCTTCTTTTGTGAACTTTGTCTTTAGCCACTGAAAGACGCGAAATGATTAACTAAGTATATACATGTATATTGTGTTTAGCATTTACCAAATCAGTGAATCAATTAAGTGATTGGCTCCCGTAACTCGAAGTATACTTGGCTGTTCACCATTTTGGAACCCAAATCAATTTGGTGGGTCGTTTCGCGACAGTTTCAAATGATGACATTTTAGCTATTAATGAAGCACTTGTACCAAAAGAAGAAAAAATTTTAATTCTTAAATATGTTAAAAAGCCAAATTCACGATATTTTCGACGTCTGCACTTAAAAATTCTTTTCCTTTACATTATCTGCAATTTTTTAGCTTCCGAGCAGAATAAATTAAAATCTTAGAATCCTGAGGAGTTTCTGAACATGTTCATCGGTACAATGTTTTGTTTTTGTATTGCTTTGTTTGTTAATTCAGTCAGTCCGTTGAAATTGACACAAATGTGACAGTACTTGTGACGTGTGAAAAGAGAAGATGTCTATCTTCCGTACCGGATGCTGGACTTCGAGGAAGTTTAAATGCAGGCACACTGGGAGTGTTCGACACTGCCTCACAGATCAAATGACTGCACTGTGCACTTTTTTTTGCTGGCTCGAGGCCGGGTAAATGCTTCATTTTCGAGCCATATAGATAATAATAGTGACTGCTGGGACCTGTGTAAAAAATCATGCCATTGATGGGTGCCAGTACTTAGGAAAGTGTCCCCAATTTGCTGACAGTTAAGCTAAATATATTGCAACGAAAATGACGTTGTTATTATAATTATTATTATTATCACTGTTTTCTCCGACGAATGCTCCACGTTCTTAGACATGATGAATGACATTGGCATTGACAAAAAGCAGCAACTTTATATAATCAAGAAATTAAATGATGAACATAGCCATTAGCGCAACATATTACATCTTTTGGTGTAGAAATAGGAATTGGAATAGCCCAGACTTATGCAATTTTGATTTTCTTTTCTTCTTCGTCTTTCTTTTTTTCGAATAATTCAATCTCAAGCAGCATTTGTAAATTGCTTATACGTAGCGAGATTTACAATTGTACATTCAAAAACACAAATAAAGCTTCCATTATTATTATTATTATTATTATTATTATTATTATTATTATTATTATATAGAGCTAGTGTTTATTGAAGCAAAGTGTTTTTTTATAGCATTGCAAAGGAAGTATCGGGAACAGAAATATCAGGAAAGCGACGAAAACTCTAAAGAAGAAGATTATAATGAAGGTTATGGCAGTGATTATGAAGTAGAGTGTGGCGGTGATTGGCAAGATAATGATTATGCCGACAATGTGAGAAATTGGGATGATGACGATGAAAATGATTATGACTATGATTATGAAGAAGATTATAACGTTAGTTCTGAGGATTATGACGTCGACGATGTTCTAGAGTATGGTTACTATGATTATGAAGAAGATTGCGAAGAAGTTTGTTGTAATATTCCAGTGGTTTCACAACCATACGACAAACTAGGTAACCTCCTTCATGGTCAAACTTCTAGGGGAAGAAGAGTGGATTCTAAACTGATGCTGTTCTCGAACCAAGGTTGGTCTCGTCTTCAAAGCACAGGAGGATATTGCCCTGTCGAAGACCACTTGCAATTGAATGGAGGTAATTATTACAAAAATAGGGATCTCCAGTGTCAGACATGACTACGTAATGGTCTGGGCCTGGTTGTTCGAAGGCTGATTAGCCCTTAACCTGGGGTTAAATTTAACCCGGGTTTCTTATTCTTGTGTTCAAAAGCATTTTCTCGGATGATCTCTCCGTTATTTTTAGAGCTTCCAATCATTAACCTGTAGACCAAAAGAATTAAGACTGAACTGCTTTTTAAGCTTTCAAATCTGAATTCAAATCTCGCACTAACCCTGGGTTATCTTAACCCAGCTTTGAACAACTCGGCCCTGGTGATAAATACACCGAGGGTTCAGTTAACCTGCACTGTGGGGAAAAAACGGAGACAAACGTATTTCATGTCGTTACTGTAATTACTACTCTGATAATCTCCTACTTCTGAAGTGGAGAGGCATGTGGCTCGTTTGCCATCTCTCCATCAAGAGGCTCTCTTTTTATTATTAACCGCCTAGAATAATTAAATTGGGAAATAATGACCTTTTTTAACATTTTGCGCAAAGGGAATTCACACTCTCCATTTTCATCCTAACCTGGAGAGAGGACCATGGATCGACCAGGTTCAACTATGGTTTTACGATTAAAAAATAAAAGATTAAGATAACAGAAGAGAAGCATCAACTATATAGAAATGAAAGATAGCAAAAAAAAACTTAGACGCGTGCTAAAATAACGTAACAGAACAACATGCAGAAATGTCACATATCTGAATTGCTGATGACTCTGATTAAGTCAATCGGTCCTCATTTTCAATCGTAAGAAAGAAGAGACACTCCGACCAAAGTAAATCCAGTTGTACTAAGTATAATCTATACACAATGCAAGTTTCCACGGCACCCACACATAAATTATTGATATGGACCCTTTTTTTTTTAGATAACTTGTCTCCCAGCGGCTGGGCTCCAATGCCTCTTGACGAAAGGGGAAATGAAGTTGCTGTTCATACGGTGAACCTAGCAAGCACTTGTGCTGAGTACCAAGAGGTCGCACAGAGGGTAAGACAGACACTTCCGTCCCAGAATATTGTCAGCATCGCAAGAATTCAAAATCCCTTTCTTTACCAGTCTTATCAACTGCGAAAGCAAAAAATGAAGAAAGACAATGGAGGAGATAACGAACGCCAGCTGTTTCACGGCACAAATCCAGATAACGTAACAAAAATTAACACTCAAGGATTTGACAGAAGTTTATCAGGCTCAGCAAATGGTGAGAATTCTTAACCTTCACAAAGTGCAATAGTTACCGTAAAAAATGTAGATTGTCCAATCACAACGTTTTCTGAAAACAAAAGATTCTCAAGGTTTTTGCAAACGGACAAATAAAATTCAAGTATTCAACGAAAAACTTTAAAACCGTTTGAAATTATCTGACCTCTCAGGAAACAACCCTCAGATTTATAAATGTTATTGGTCCGTTTGCAAAAAAAAACTAGAGGATCTTTTGTTTCAAAAAGCATTCAACCACAGTATACTTGTAATCTCCAGCGGCGGTTGTCTCTATGGGTTCAGGATTAACAATCAGAGAGGACTAATCCCGACCAAGTGCTCAATTGGTCAATTGGGGGTCAGTATCCATCTCGTAAGCAAAAACACTGAAGACACCAAATTGTAGCTACTGGCTATCTAAACACTGGAGCAGAATACGTGTTCTGAATGCCAAGCAAATTAGTCCATTTATTTGTTTTTAGTGGCCTGAGAAACTCCACCTCGGTTGTAGTCTTGCTCGTGACTCTATGAATGCCAAACAGGGGAGGAGACAATAATCGATGATAGACGTATACAGTCCATATGAACTCAATGAAAGGAGACCAAGCTCAACACAGTCCATATGAAAACCTTTTCTCCCAACCCGGAAAACCTTTTCTCTAAAAACTAAGAAACTTTTTTTATTTTAGCCTTTACAATACAGCTGAATGCGAGTCTTTTTAGGAGAGCTTTTAGTGCTGCAGAACACATGAATCACATTATTAACTCATTAATTACGTCATGAACACTTTTATAGGAGCTATTTTTGGCACTGGAGTCTACTTTGCCAGAGATGCCTCATATTCAAGGTGCTATACTTCAAATACCATTGGTGCCATGTACCTCGCCCGTGTCTTGGTGGGACAGTATTGCAAAGGCGATTCAAACAAGAAAAAACCTCCACCAATAAACCCAAGTCGACCAGAGATTCTGTTCGACTCTATGGTGAACGACATACAGGATCCTTCAATTTTTGTTGTATATTACGACAATCAATGCTACCCAGAATATCTTATTAGATTTTAACAATCAATGCGGTTCAAAAGCGTAATGGGAGAGCTGCAATTGTTTTCCACGCGACACTGATCTAACTAAGGGATGGACCATAAGAAAACTTATGGGAGGGGGGGACGAAGTACAAAAAAAATTTTCGCGCAAGGGAAAATGAAATGAAAAAAAATTCATGCACGCCAATTAACCCTAAAAAATATTCATGCTATGGCCTAAAAAACACTCATACAAGGAATTTGATAACGAAAAAAGATTCCTGCGGCTCAAAAATTTACCACCGCCCCCCTTTTGTAATGGTCCGTCCCTAACTCGGAAATTCTCTGTTTTCACTGTCTCGCCATCAAAAATAAAAAAAAACGCAAGCCATTCAAGGCAGAAGTGCAGAATCTGGAAAATGAAAGAGGATAAATACCCGGTATACAAAAAGTCTAGCAAAAAAATCAGGTCTGTGCGATATTTCATCGCATTAAATGCAAGATACTCGGGAAAAAGTTTTGCCCAAATTTACAAAGCTTTGTATGGAGACGCCATGTTGGTGTCCCTCTAAGGGGCATAAATATGGCGGCTGAAAAACAACAGACATCTATCTTTGAGTTTTCCTACAAAAGCGTGAATACATCACTCGAGAAACTCATCAAGATTAAAGTAATATTTATTCTGAGACAAGGAATGTTAAAAAACACAAAATCAGTAAAATCTGTAACGCTTGTAACTCACATAAGAGCTTTCCCGGCCGCCGGCAGTGAAGTGTCGCGTCACGGAAAAGCTTGGAAATTCAAGCGTCCTCTATCGCAAAACGATAGAGAACCCTTTCGAACCGAAGTTTTTTTATGAATAAAGGTGTTTAGCTGCTTTACTACCTTATGAAAGTAGAAACTCAGAAGAATCGATAATTCCTTTTTATTTTGAATTTTGGTGAGGTCATGTGAAAACCGAGAACAGCCAAATTAACGCGGTTGTTTAATGTCGTCTTACTGGCTCATTTGGCATTTCACGTTACATTGGAACCTGTCTAAGTGTAACTTTATTCTAAATTTTGACTTTTAGCGTTTTTCTGTACGTCTCTTAAACCGCTCGACAGGATTTTTTAGAACCTTATCACATAACCTTAATAATGTATATAATAATGTCTGAAACTTTAAGACGGAATCCGCCAGGACATTGAGTAATTTTGATTTTCAGTGGACAAAAATCTTGTACCAGAATAATTTAAAGCATATTGCATTCTTCCTTACATTTTTCAAGGGCTAAAGATGTAAAAATAAATCGTTTGTAGTAACACCGAAAACAATTCTTATGGGAGCCCGAGAAAATGAATATCAAATTTCACAAAATTACATCTTACCCATGAAATTTTCAGAATTTTACCTGTGATACTAATCAAAATTCTATCGACTCCACCAAACGAGATCTTACCAGAGCCGTAGCTAGCGGGGGGCAAGGGGGCAGCTTCCGCCCCGGACCTGTTGAGCCAGACAAATCAAGTCTGTGGATGGATTTGTTTTCTTTAGACTCAGTTATTTTGATTATAGTGACTTGCAATTGTTTGCCATTTTCTTATTCGAGGTCGAATTTTTCGGAGACATGTCATGACAAGTGCTGAAAATAGGGTTTCGGAGCCTCCAAATTTGACAATTTTCCCGGGGAGGATACCCCCAGACCCCCTACAAGGCTCGTGACTTAAGCACTTGCAATAATGCCCACCCGTTATAAAAAAAACCTAGCTACAGCCCTACTTACACTTATTCAGCTTGCGGCTTACAGGATTGGAATAGAGAGCAATCTTCAATATGATTATGTTTGTGTGTTTCTGTAAACTGTCAGTAAAGGACACGTTTTGTATGTCTCTCTATTTTGATTTGTACGGTACACTTCTTGACTAGAAAGGAAAATCAATGGTCCTTCAATGTTTTGTTCCACTGCTAGTTATTTTACATTATGTTTTACTAGATTTTCTAACATTCTGCGTTCCCCGCTCGTGGATCCTTTCGGTAGCCATAAATGGAGAGCTTGCTGGCAGGCAAGGTATGGTTGCAACACAGAAGTAACAGCGGTCAGCCAAGCAGCGAAGATCCACACACAGTGTCAATGAACTCAAAATCTTTTTATTTTACAAAAGTTTTGATCAAAGCTTTTGGTGCATATGACATTGGCAGTAGAAAACTGAAGAAAAACGATACAATCGATTGCTGTCGATTGTTGTCGACAAAATCGTCTCTGTTGAATAGTCGGTATGGAACATAGCCAGCGTGGCAGGCGCTAGAAAGTATTTGGGCGCAGGAAAGACCAGGCGCGCGTGAGGGGGACACGCGTGAGTGGATAGACACGCGTGTCTCCCTTACGCGCCCCGTTCTTTCTTAAGCCCATTATTTCCAAGCGCTTGCTACGCAGCCTATATTGAACAACAATAAATAGTACCTTGCCACATTGGAAGGCAAATCCACCCAAGCAAGTTTAGCGTCATTTGTACATCATCTATCATCGACATGATCTGCGTCGCTTTCAATTACAACACCGCTCCAAAATTTGCTAAGTTAAGCACCACCCTTCGGGTCTTTACTAAATACCGTAAATCAGCCTATCTACACCCACTTCCAACACCTCTGTTCTTGAGAACGCCCCCTCAACGCTGTTAAAATTGTATTAGACCCCCCTCTAATAAACGCCCCCTGTTTAATAGACGCCCCTTAAGAGAATTTACTTCAAAATACTAGGAATGAGCAAAAAAGGAGGAAATCATTCATTTTCTTGCTTGATCGGGATGAACTGGGGGTTTGAGTGTTTTTACTTTCACCCTTTTAATATAGTAAAGATGGAAACACAATAACCTGAGGGAGGACTCTGACATCGACGGTTTTGGATTTGAGATATGGATCTCTAGACAGCCTAGATGGAGTGGAAAAAATATCAAGAGTTTAAAAATAAGTTTTGTTGAGTGGTACAGTTATAACAATAAGCACCTCTCCCTTTTAAACGTCTCATATCTATTAAACGCCCCCGCTTGGACCCATAAAATCGCCCCGGGTCAGTGCGGGTGTTTATTATACACTGAAACCTGTATTAAGCGGACACCCTCGGGGAGTGCTGTAGTGTCCGCTAATACAGGTTTCGATAGATAACGTTATATGAGGTGTCAAATGCCATTCAAATGAACAGTGGAAACGTTCAGAATACTTCCCGAGAGACTATGATGATATACGTTTGCATTAATTTCTTTATCAAAGTGGACCAATTGATTGTAGTACCATAAACATAGATTGCAACTCAAATTTGAAGAAATCAGATGAGTGAAACAAGCTCCATACAAGTCATACAACCAAAACGAAATAGAAAACAATACTGTACTGTGAAAGTAATCAAGTCACATTTTTTAATGTAAAAATCGAAAAATTTGTGGGTGGCAATTCGAGGCAATCTTTTGCATTTCCGGTGTCTGGCACGTTGGGTGGTGGAATTTAATTACAAGTGTCCGTTTAATACAGGTTGGCAACAATAGATTTGACCATTTCAGGTACTTTTTAGGTGTCCGCGTCCGCTTAATATAGGTGTCCGCTTAATAAAGGTTCCATTTAAAGTAAATAAGTGAAATAAATTTGGGGACTTCGGCTACTGTCCGCTTAATAGAGGGTGTCCGCTAAATACAGGTTTCACTGTATATCTTCTTCAGCGCACTGGCCCGAGTGCGGGTGGGCTAAACCACGTGCCGAGCCCCTCCCTCGTTTTTCTTAAGGTACAACCACCTATTTCCAATCCCTGTTCAACACTAGCGATTTTCTTGTTCAATGAAACTAAAAACAAAGTAAAAATTAAACCAATTGTCACTTACCAGCGCGAGATAATAGAAGTTACTCTTTTATTTGTCCTACGCTGGATCTTCATTGATGTGGTTATGCCATTTAGCTACAGGGCATTCAGACGCCTCCTTGGCATTTTAAAAGGAGGGATAAATTCGGAATGACAAGGATATTCCCCACTAACACCGAATGCAAACATTGCCATCAAGAAGGGTCAAAAAACTGCACAACATTTTTTCCACTCGCCTTCAGAGCTAAAGGTGATAGTATGTCACGTGCACGTGTACCCTGTGGACGATTAAGTGAATGTGCTCCAGGGTAATTTATTCAAATTACCATACACGTAACATGACACCAAGTTACACGTCTCTTTTAGGAACCAAACTTTTGCAAGCCGCAACGTTTTTACAAATCAGCGGAATGTTGAAATTTCAGTGATTTGCTAGTTTTTAAGTCATGTTATGAAGGTGAGCTGCAGAACCTTGTGTCACGAGAAAAAAACAATGGACACTGAAAGGTAACTGTAAAAATCCAGGACGTGCGTTAAACTCATTTTTTAGAAGTGTCATTTGTAATCATGATTCCGACTTCTTGTTAATGTTATGTTCATTTTTACTAAAGTAAATCTATTATCTGGCATAGTTTGTCTATAGTTTATTAAGGCATTTCGAAAACAGTTCTTGAAGCCTTTTAGACATGACCAGCGGGAAGTATTTTTACTTCCGAGTTCAGAATTAAATGGCACCCGATGCGATTCTCAGTTGCTCGTTTTTCAGGATTTTTTTTTTTCTTTTTATATTTTTCGATTGACAATTTCGCCTTTTTAACTTTTCAGAAAGTAATAGCTATTTAATAGATACTGAAATTGCCATCATTTCCTTACGCTTTGGTGGGCTAGAAATAACTTTGATGTGATTTTCTCCTTTGGTGACACGGTTTCTGCTTTGTTTATATTTCACGTCCTTGTCGCTTGCGGTGACCCGACGGGCTATATTTAAAATTTTATTTTTTGCAAGCGCTTAAATTCGCAGAGCTGAAACTTCAGGTGTAGTTCAAAGAATCACAGTTCTTTCATGTAGTATAATCGTATTTTAAATTTGAGACATAACGGAATCGACTTTTTGCGGTTAAAGTTGGGCGTTATTTCGACCGCCAAAGCAGCACACAATCAAGGTGCAAACAATAAAAGCCCAAAACTATATTACAAAAGTTATTTTGCGAGACATTTTTATGGAGTCTTAAAGTTTTGGGTAACTGGTAAATGCATGTGCAACATCAAGTCAATAGGAGCTTTTGCGCGCTTGTACTGCTTTCTTGAAAATTGTTGAAATTGGCAGCAATGTCGCGAATTAAAAAATGTCTTTTTATCGAATTTTTGAACTTTTCCAAATTTCTCAAAATGTAAAGCGCTTGAGGATTTCTTTATAGGGAGTTTAAGATACGGCGACTACGGACTACGACTACGGTTAAACATGCTACTGCGCATGATTAAAACCACGTGACTGTTCATTTTTCCCGGTAGTCCCGCGGCTACGGTGAGTTGTTGAGCTGTTTCGCGTAGTCGCGACTACGCAGAACATTTTGCTCGTATTTTGCCGTCTCGGTAATTCAAGAATCTCGTCTTTTCGTAAAAGAGTTTTCAATTCACCTGCTTTAAGTGAGAGGGAAGCGAAATATGTAAGTTGTGTCTAATTTCTGCTCAGATTTACTCTTTTAATCCACCGTTGTGGCTACATTTTTATGTAGCTAAGCTCATATTTAAATAAGCTTAGCTGTTTGTACGCAGAAATTCAGATTGACGGCCGAAGACAAGAGAAATCATGCAGGTAATTTACTTTCTCTTCGCACTTGAAAAGTTTCAATGTTTGTTCGAAGTAATTAGTGTGTCTTTCTACTTGTGTGAGCTTTGTTTATGCGAGTTTTTGTATCGCATTTCCCGAATGAAAATGATGTAAACATCTTCGAGACAATCGAAACTCGGCATTTCAGTACTTCAAACTACATCAGATCAGTAGTCGGAGAAGTCCATCTTCTAAATCTAATAAATGAGCTATTACTATTTCTGTCTATTTCTTTAATATTCGACATAAGTATTCATGGGCCAAAAAAAATAAAATCTGTGTAACCAAAACTTTCACCCGACGTAACTTCCTTCAAGTACGGAAGAATTTGTTCATTGTTCTAAAGATAAGATCACATGCAAAACTGACTTTCATTTTTGTGAACTTTGATGAAAACAAGAAAATCTTTGCGTGTTGTTTCCCTCTCCGCCTCTTCCCTCGTAGTCTACTGTCTGTAGTGCAATCTTAAGTTCTATATTTGCACGACTCAACCCAGTGCTACAAACAAAGGACAACGCTCGTCCAGCCGTAGTTCGTAATCCGTAGTCTCCGTATCTTAAACTCCCTAATATCATTACTTCGGCGGAGCGCGAAGTAAAAGATTCGCGACGCTCAGGAATGTATCAAAGTTGCCATTTTTTGACAAGATTGGGCAAGCAAAGTCTGTAGGTTTTCGGTTCTATTCGGCTATTTGACGAAGTGAGAGCCGAATTAGTTCGAGATATCTGGAGATCACTTCGATTTCTTTGATTTATTCTTTAACTTTTTCGAGGAAGAAAGAATTATTAGAGAGTTTTAGATCCTAGGTTACCGCGAACCTCTAACCGCTGGAGGTCACGTGACAAGTCATCGCGTCACGTTTGAGGTTTTCAACGTGCGTTTTCAACGTGGGGACCTGAGTTTTCACGTATGTCATTTACCTGAAACCTTTCAGCGTATAATTCTTGTTTCATCTCACGTAATAATACAAAAATCTTGTGGAGCAAGTCTTTATACATTAACAGAGGCACAAATTCGGGCGAAATGCTAAATTTGATAAATCCTATTGGATCTTGAAAACAAGTGCCATTCATGGCTGCTGATTCAAAATGGCGGCCGTAAAATTGCAAGAAGAACTAATGCAAGAATTTACAGCTCTTTGCTGCTAGATAACCCAGTGTTGCCGTAAATTTCTTTTATTTTCACTGATTAATTTTTCTTCTATTTCTAAATGGAAAAATAAACCAGAATCACTTGTTTAAGCCACCGCCAATCTAAATCGAATTATGTTTGAACGTCGAACCGCAAACGGGTAACCGCAAACCGCCGTTAGAGGTTCGCGGTAAACTCGGATCTAAAACTCTCTATTATTTTGGCTTTCCCGGGGCTTAAACCGACTCACCTGAGTGACCCGTCAGATCAGAAGAGACTCTAAGTTGAGGGATTAGCCGATTGCGCTACTGCGACCCAAGGTAGTTTGGAATATGAAAAATAGTTATGAAATGATGCATCAGTTTCGGGACAAGATTGGGGGTGCAAGTTCGTGACTTTTCGGCTTGTTTCAACTATTTCACGAAATGAGACCGGACTACTTCATGATATCTTGAGATCACTTCGAGTTTAGTCTTTAATTACCCGAGGAATAAATAGAGGATCATTTTCGTGGCCGCGCAGAGACACGAAATTTCTCTTCGAGTGTTGAGAAACATTTCACGAGTGAGCCCTCCTTTCGAACTGTTTTATGATGAATTTAAAGTTACAAAATGCGCACAAAGACATTTTGTCTTTGTTGAGTGTTACGTAGTAAAATTGCGTTCATGCGTTGCGTGACTTTCTCGAACGTTCTCTACGTTTTTGGATTATTCATGAATAATTAATTAGGGCATGTTTACATTTCAGCATGAGTCAGCAGATTTGCATCAGTTACTGAAATCATAAAATATGTCGAAAAGCTACTACTATTCGCCTGTTTAGTATTTTCTAGAACCTTATGTCAAACGGTATACAAGTTCCAAGCGAGTTCTTTTGACGAACTAAGTTTTTTCCCACGAGCTGGACCGCTGTGTTTAGTCAAGTGTGACGAAGGTCGATTTTCAGGTTCTGTGTTTACAAGTTCGCGGAAGCCGTAAGACATCTGAAGTTCAAGTGAGAGTTTGTTATTATTGGTAGACGCTGTTTAGTTTTACTCAAAGTTCAAGTCAAGTTTGTGTTGGTGGAGTTGTGTTTTAAAGCTCTGTAAAGGCTATGTTCCTTTGGTGTTAAACTTCCTTGTGTTAATCCGACATCCCTGCGTGCTGATAGTCAGTGAATAATTATCCTCAAAACATTCGAACTCGTGACTTTGAGTTTTAGCCAATTCCATGCTCAATCTTATTGACTCCTTACCCATGCCTTACATATCTTTAATCAGTACATGAGACTGCTATGCTGTTTTTGAAGCCTGATGTGACTAAGAAAAATAGAGAATTGTTTTTTTAGAAGGATTTGTATGGAGTCATCAGAGCATAGCTGGGCTAATATCTCTGAGACAATTTGTCCCGAAATGCTGGTTTTTGGCAAGTAGGCCTCTTGGATGTTGCTCTTTTCAGAATATCCTGACAAATCCCAAAATTTCACAAATTAACACCTTACTCTTACCATATTTGATTTCTTACTATTCCTCCGCATTTACAATTAATTAGTTCCACAACTACGACGCCGAAGTGTACGCTCCGTAGCGTCTTGTTTCTTGAAATAGTGCACCTAAACGGTTGTTTGGGTGGTATTAGCTAAAATTCGAATTTTTAGAACTGATTTGAGATTCTCGATATTTTCCGACATTGGCTCTTAAGGTCAGATAGCCCCTTAAAAATTGCAAATGGTAAAGTGTTATTGATGCACGAAGGCAGCATTGCCGAAGAGATTTGAGAGTCAATCAACTCTTCGGCCACGCTTGTAAATAAGTAGCCCACTTATTTACCTCTTCTGTTACACAAGGTTCCCAGGCGCTTTATTTTTAGACATTCCAGAGATATTTAAAATCAAAACAACTAATTTAACCTGTGTGTCTGAGGTATCTGTGTCTTTCTTTGGTCGTTCTGAAAGACGGTCTCTTCGAACAATTTCAAAGTACAACGTTGAAATGGAACAGAGAACTGTCTTTGCTTTGATGCAAATTCCTTCAAAAGCGACAAAAGGATGACATAAATTAAAAATGCAGTGAGGTAAATGATTTCGATGTTATTGCGAATGGCATGAATTTGCTGAAAAGTGTTCGAGCTCCCTCTGATTGCTATTTTATGTTTCAGTTACGTATTCTGCCTTTAGCCCCGCTAGCCCCTGTACTAAAAATACATGTAATACATAGGGCAAGTAAGTCTGTATTGAACCACAATAACTCTGATCTAGAAGTACAATGTACGCACGGCCGTATGACTATATCATGAGATAACATACTCAGTTGTGTCTAATACAACCTGGATTTGCGTCGCTTGATTTCCACAAAGTATTTCTATAAAAAAGAAAACAGTATAGAACTTTCTGACATTTCAAAGATTAAAACTTCTTTGCAATCAAACATGAACGAAGAACAAAAGTGGTTAAACGAACTAGCTCAGACTGAGAGCCGGCGCATTTTGGAAATTTATATATCAGAACCTGATTAAGTAGGCAACTCTGCATGTTGAGAGGAGAGTAATCAAGAAGTTACAATTGCTCGAGGCGTAATAACCAATTAGCAACTCGTAATACCTACGCTTCTTTCGTGCTTTCCAAACTTCCTTTGTGCATCAGCTATTAAACTCCATATACACACCCTAAGCCCCTAAGCCTAAGCATGAACCAGTTTTCTTTGACGATGAAAACCGCTAAAACTACACTCTTACCACATATCTACATGGCTTTAGAGATGGCTAACACTGAACTTCTTCTTACAACCTTGCTGTTGTCATTAAAATTGCAATTAATTAAATTCTATAAACAGTGATTTCTTAAGTAAATAAAGAAAGAGCTATACACTCTAGATTATCTTTAAGTTCGTTTTTATCTGCTGAAGTAAAGCAAAACGATTAAAAGGTTATGAGATATTCAGGATAACATTGAGTATCGTAGAAAACAACGAAGATGGACGGATTTGCTGGGTTATCAACCACTGACTCGTACAAAATCTCTGGTCTGTAACGGTCCTTTGGTGGTGGAACGATCATACTAGAGTTGCCTGCACAATATTTCCCAACCAGGACCCGGGAAAGGTACATAAAGCGGCCCCCAATGCCACTTCCTGCATATCCAGCTGAGTAAGAAGCATCTCTGGCAAAATACACACCGCGTCCATATTTAGTTCCTAGAAAAAAAAAACAAACCAAAAAACGCAATTAATGAGATAGTTGTAGTAGTCACGGCATTCCTTTGTTCGAACAGTCACAAATTAAACCTCTACTTGTAAGTGTCTAATTCGATTGTGTTATGACGACGTCTACAACAACTAAGTACCCTACAAACACTCAAAATGCTACTTCAAGTTGTAGAATACATAACTAGCCTATCTCTCCTTGGGAATACATGTCTTAAATCATATCGTTTAAGGGTACTTTAAAAGTGCCTATAATTGTACCCGTCGAGTCAGTTCTGAATAGTGCATGTGTATGTAAACATACAGTGGTACTGCTATACTTAGTCTGACTCATTATAATATACGAGTACACAATGCTTTTCAGCGGTTGTAACTTACCATGTGCCCCACAAAAGCTCCTGTTGAATCCCTGTGTGTTTATAGCACTTATATTTCTAGCGTCGGTTCCATGAAACAGCTGTCGTTCATTGTTCCCTCCATTGTCTTTATCCATCTTCTGCTTTCGTACCATGTACTGCTTGTAAAGATGAGGATTTTGAATTCGCTCAATTTTCTGGATATGCATTCCCCTAGCGGTTGCTTGAAATTTGTTCAGGACACTTTGATACTCAGAGGAGACCGGTGCCAGAGTCACAGTATGTACTTCCATATCAGGGCGTGGCATTGGAGCCCACGTGCTCGGAAAAGAAGTTCCTTTAGGACAAAGAATCAGTGCTCTTAATATTATTTTGCTTTGGGAAAGTAACATTACTGGTTTAGGGAGTTTTCAATTGGCCGTACTTCGAAGAGAATCTAAGGATGCTATGAGATGGAAAATTTCACTGTAGGAATACGCCACCTTGTCTGTTTTATTTATTATAATTTCCAGTGGTATTATAAAAAAAAGACTACTAGAACTCTTGATTTTACATTTAGATAGCCAAAAGGATAACGGTTGACGCCCATGGGAGTTCATCTGGATACCCCGTGATGGACGTCCGTGAAAATCAGGGAAGTCAGTGGGGGTTTTGGTTGACAGTGAGAAGCGTTGAAGGAATATATCAGCCACCGGCCCCAGATCTCTGCAGTGGAAAACGGTCTCGCTTCAATTCATTCTATGCTGTAAGGATTAACCTCTGTTCATGGGCAAATAAGGCCTTTCAAAGATTTGGTAAGTGGCTTCCTCCTAACCAGATGCCACCCTGTGTTTTGCGGATATCCTTAAAAAGATTAGGTGCGATCTGGTATCTTCGTCCTATTGACTTGAATTTCTATTGTCGGGCATCAAATACAGGAATGATTGTATCAGTTCCCTACTTAAGCAGTGTATTGTAGAGCTTATTTAATAAGTTCCCGTGTTTGAATGTGCTAACCTTCTTCAGCTCCCTTGACCTTTCTGATTAGTGTAATTGTTTTACCACTCTGCTGTCCGCGGCCCGTTTTATTTTTCAAATTAATGTCAAATTTATCACCTAGCAGAGATATTTGTACTGTTGGTTGTTCTTTGATGTGTGCCATCTCAAGCTTTCCGTTTGCCTTCGGGCTAAACACCATTTTCCCGCCTTGTATTTCATAACTCCATTCTACGCTCTTTGAAACCATCATTGCTTGCTCCTCCTCCTGTATCTTCTTATTTCTCTCGTTAATCTCCTGCCAAATCTCCCCGACCATGCCAGGCACTTCAACTGGGCCACCCTTCACCACAATGCGATCAACATCAACCTCAATTTCAAGTTTGACGTCAAGTTCTTTGGCTTTCTTTCTAAGATTGTTAATTTGCTTTGGTGACAGTTTGCTGACGGTTTCATTTTCGACTTTTTGAGTAGTGCAAGCTTCAGAGAATCGTTGCTTCAAAGCGCCTACTGCTTTACCGACGCTTCCTCTATCCTTCCCAACCACTAAGATTTTCACAGAATGGTCACTTGTTGAACTCGAATTAGTTGCGGTATTTTTTCTTTGCCTAGCAATTCTGGGCCTTTCAGCAACTTCATCATCTGCAGTGGAGTCACTCTCTTGTTCATCCATATCCTGCACTGCCTGTCTCTGTTGCGCCAACAAAAATTCCTGAACCATTTGAGCTTGAAAGACAACGACACGCACGTTGCGAAGGTTTTGACAACTTCCTCTTAAGGAGCTGAGAGCTTGGAATGTTACCTGAGCCGAGTCCGCTGCCGTCAGACCAAATCCACCAGTGCCTACACATGGAATTGATATTGTTTGAAGGTTGTTTTGATCTGCTAGACGAAGGCCAGCTTCCAAACTTGTCTGAAGATGCTGTTTATCTTGGGAGGCTGCAAGTCAAAAATGAAAATAACTTTGACATTTAATAATGAACAAAAAAGTGATATAATATTGTTGAATTTTACACTCAAGAGCGGCAAGAAAACTGAAGGTTTGGAATGTTTCATCGTTGGACTACAATTGGCGATAGGAGTAAACGAGATTACAAGTAGCTCAACGGTTTCTATCAGTCCTGTCTTCCCCTACTGTGTCAACTTTCTCGTGGGGCCCAATTTTCAAGCGCACTCGAGTATTTCGATCCCCCTACTATCCCTGACAATAGCCTCCTCCACAGGCAACTTCTTTTGTAACGGTTACATTGACCGTGAGGAGTCTGAGAGAATATCGCTACACTATAATTCGCCACTTTCGCTTTGAGGTGTGTTTGGGTAATGTGACAGTGGTTAATTAGAAAAATTTCGTAATCGTCTTTTTCTTTTGTAGATTTTATCATTTTTAAGGGTCGACAATACGTTGCATGGTCTATTGGAGGTCAAATTTCCTGCGTAACAACATCAAATAACTAAAACTCAGCCAATACCTGGAATAATATGGATTATATGGCGTACTGCTAAATTTCCACTACCAGTCATCACCGCTGTCCCAGCAGGTTGATTGCTATATTGACTGCATTCTTGTTGGATCTGCATACCACCAGCTGCTAAGATCGCTTTGCTTAGATCACCAGCGTTGCTCATGTTCATGTCAGTGCTGTTAATGTTCATAATGGCGTCTGTGTTCTCTTTTGTTAAATCACCACTTACTACTTTAATATTCAAGCCTCTCTGCCTCCTAGCACGTGGATAGGCTAGGCCCTGCCTGGCCATAGGTTTAAAGACATGGCCCTGAATAGAATACAGCGGATGACGCTGCTGTTCTCGTTGGAATGCCTGAAGCATAGGCGCTTGGAACACCACGATTCTAACCTTTTTGATGACGTTGAAACGAGCACTAAAATTACTGAGAGCTTGAAATATTAGGCTGGCTGAATCAGCCGCTGACATGTGAAAAGATCCCGTTCCTACCGCTGGAAATGAGATGGACTGAAAACCACGAGTCTCTGCCACACCAAGACACTTTTCCACGCATTGTTGCAAGTGATTTTTGTCGGCAGTATCTGGTATCAAGTGGATGATATTACGCGCTGTAAGATTTCCACCCCTGGTAACTACCACTGATCCACCTGTTTGATGTCCCAGTTGAGAGCACTCGTCTTGAACAACTTGACCAGCCGCCTGTTTCACCGCCTTGCTCAATGCCCCGGCGCTATCCATATTCATATCTTTGCTGTTGAGGTTAACAATGACATCTGTTGCCTCCTGGCACAAATTTCCTTGCAAAACTTCCACACTAACACCGACGGCTGGCCTTGCTGGGTTCTGATGAACTCTTCCTAATTTAGACCGCAGATTCCTTAAAAAACCACCCATAGTATATCCGGGACGAATTCTGTACTTGGATTGCAATTTATCAAACTCTTGCGCAAATGCAGCGGTTAAAGCCTGATCTTGCTGAAACACGGCAAATCGAATATCTTTTACCACAGATGACGGATTATTTTGACAAAAGTTGATGGTTTCTTCCAACATGATCTTGGAAGCTATGTCTTGAGGAAAGTGGAGCTTTCCAGTGCCTATGACTGAAAAGACTATTGATGCTCCTCCGAGTTCATCCGCCTTCTGAAGACACATTTGGATAATGCCTCGTAATACCTTAAATAAAACATGAACCATGACTGCACGATTGACAATAATTGGTTTTGTACGGATAAACAATCTGAAAAAAGCCTTAAGGAGTTGATTGATTAACATTATCTCAACTATCTATTCGCCATTTTAGAAACGAGAAGGGGACAGCTGTAAGGATGCACCTGTCAACTATTGGCCAATTTTTTCGCTCTCCCTGACAACAGCCCACAGAAGTCTTTGCGAAATTTAACTCGGCCCAGTTTCCTTGGCGTTTTGCTAGTGGTAAATAGTGGAAATCTAGTTCCAAGCTGGTGTGAAATTGCCAAATGTGATACGTGTCGACCAAAACTTTCTTCGACATGTTTCACAAAGGGTGTTAAAAGCAAAAATTGAGGGCTCATGATTCGTGTCTTGCTCTGTGGCTTTTTGGATAGGATGCCTTATAATGTTCATTAGAATAAGTTAGGGTTCCAATTATTCCTTACCTGCTCCCCCGTTCCACCATGCCACTTGGAACAGTTAGTATGGATCACGTGATTACAGGCCAGGTTATATCCAGGAGTAACTGCGATGTCACCAGTGTTTGGAGTTACCAAGTTTTGCCTCATTGCCTGCCCACCCACATTGACGATCGCCCGGGAGCATGCACCTTGTGAACTGACCAGAATGTCGGCCTGCAATTAAAGTCAAACAAAAAAGAGAGTTCATAAAAGCTAAAAAGCTCCGCGATATCATTTAAGGTTGGGCATCCGTCTTTACTTTAGCCTTGCAGTACCATACTACCAATAACAGCGACGTAAGCATGCACGTTTAATTAGGTACACTGGATTGCTTCTACAGTCCACTCCCGGTAACTCGAACCCTCTATAACTCGAACTTGCAGCTAACTCGAAGCAATTTTCATTTCCCTTCAGATCATTTTCGATATAATTTTACCCTCGATAACTCGAACTCCCGATAACTCGAACCTTTGAAGGTTCGAATTCGCGGGAGTCGACTGTATCTGTTGCGATTGGCGATGGCTAGTTATAACTGGACGTCACACAGACGGAAATTTTTGCTAAAAACAATACAACTAACGTACTGCCATATTTGGGAAAATAGATTTGTGTCGCTCTGAAGGGTACAATTGTAATTTCATGCAAATTAGTCTGGGATAGCCTTACTACAAAACTCAGGGAATTTTGCCCTAGAATAGGATATCATTATTGGAAAATTGATGAGCCGTGTAAGCGATCAGGCGTTCCTGGTTCATAGTAGGTCTGGGACAGGTTGGGGATTTTGGATCCTTAAAAAAGAGTAGGACAGCAAAGTTACAGATACTCGTCGAGTGAAAAAGACTAAGGACTCCAGGCTTCAACGGCAAACCCCACACATAAAGTATTATAATTTAACAAAACCCACTCCTTTTTTCGGGTAGTATGGTTACGTGTAAAATGTTGATAAATGGCTTGCTTTAGTCTATGAAGACTATGATGGATCATAAATGGGTAGTCGGTTTCATACTGACAGGGAATGAAATTATGTACGATGAGGGGGCTGTTCTTATTAAATACGGATAACTAATTACTCCTTCGCAACAATCTGAAAACCCATTTACGTTTTCAGCAGAACAAAGCTTTCAACGTGGCAATACTGAGAAGAGAAGTTATTTATTTTACAGCCAAGGTCAATTCAATGCTTTTTTAATTCAAACAGCCCAGGAAAATAATCCATAGTTTATACTAGTATTTCGGGCACCGAACGGACCTGCTGAGCTACGATGTTTCCTGATTTCCACGAAATTTTGTGCCCACTTCCCATGACAAAAGTGGAAGGAACAGCGCTGCTGGCTGCAGCCGCCATATCCTCTTCCTCACTATCATCGTAATCGTCGTTTGATGAATCAGATTTTTTGACAGGAGTCTGCACATCAAATTGTTTCTGGACCTGGATAACACATGCGTGATCTTTTGCCACAGTTGCTACAAGGGTCTCGCCGTTTCCGCTGGCAAAAAGTTTCTTAAGTCCTGGCTGTTTCACGTCGAAAATCTCACATTCGGTACTATCTGCGAGGTCTTGCAGCTTTCTTTTCGCTCGTTTTATCCCCTCTTTGTTTCCCCCAATGACAAATTCATCTCCTCTTCCTGTTTGAATCTTGACCTCAAAGTCCTTGAGCTGAACTTCAATTGAAGACAAGTCATCTTGACGAAGCTCAGAGAGATATTTTCGGACTAACTTAGAGGAACATTTCATTTGCTCTTCTCGGATACAGTTATCATCTAGGTACGTAGTTAGCGTTTTTATTGCTTCATGCACATCTTCTTTGAACCCGGATACGTAGGTGTCATTCCAGTTGTTCCGATACACCCGGACAGTTGAGATGGTGTTGAGTTGCTCACATAGTTCGCGCCATTCTGTGGTTTTTAAAAGATGCTGACTGTTGGCATCCACTCGGACTTTTTCTTCCGATGTCATCTTACCAACAAGACTGGCAGCCTTGTCTGCATGCGCAGCTGACGTGCCTATGATCCGAGCCTCGCTATCGATCACGAATACAGCCTCCACGTTGTTGTTTTCTAATTCACATTTGACTTTCTCCAGCCCTTCATCTAAAGACAAAATTTCCAAAATGTTTTTTGACAGGCTTAATTTCTTTTCAACCATGCCCGAATACTGTTTGTGGAATTTCATAGTCGCTTCCAAGAACTGTGGTTGTGGGCCTTCAAAGTAGATTTCCTCCTCTTCAGTGTCTATTTTTATCTCCAGTTCTTTGTTTTTTTCTTGAAGTTTTTCCACAAAGCGGATCTTTTTTAACAAAGTTAAATGTTCTACAGGAACTACTTCCGTTTTCTTCAAATACATTTTTCTGGTTTCCTTCCGGTATATGTCCTCTAATTGTGCTTTCAAGTTTTTTTTCAAATCTTCTGTATCTGAACTCAGGGAAACAATTCTTACCACGAAAGAATCATCGATAATTTTAACCAGCGGAGGTTCAACACCGAAACAGGCACGGATGTCTGTTATCTGAGTTTTCACGGCTTCCCAGAAATCCTTGTTCACTTGAACATCTTGCTTTGTAAATTTCGCAAGCCAAGTTTGTACCTCCTCAATACATTCAGACTGCCACAAATCACTTTTATCTTGTCCGCGGTAAAATAGGACGGCCGTTTTGTTGTTTAGCTTCCAATTAATTTCACACGTCTTCGTAGCCAACGCCATTTTCAGTTGGTCATGGAGTAATGTGGTTGTGACGTATTCCATCACATCCGGGTCCACAGCTATGTGAAGCTCCTGTGCTTTAACCTCAAACCGCTGCCTCGCTGATGTGCTATGGCTGTCGTCCGCTTCCTTTTGCTTGTCACCCAAAACGTCAATTGCAACGTCATCGTCATTCTCCAGTAAATCGTTAAAGATTCTGACAGTGAGTTCAGCTTTATTTAAAACAAGTGGCCTTTCATTCTGTCTAGCTAAGACTCTTTCCATATCTGTTAATTAGAAAATGAAAGCTAGTTAAACAATGACTCCCTCGAAAACTGGTTGCTTTTTAAGACAGCAAAAAATGGTTGCTTTCGTACTAAGTCAAAAAAAATTCGAGAAATAAGGCGCCCTCGATCTCTGGCCAGGATGTATGTGTGTGTGTTTGTGCATAAAGTCGAACCTCCATGTGAGACAACCTCCTATAAGCGACTGCCTATCCAAAACACCAAAACTTTCCCAGTCAAAGCCTTACAGTTGGAACCCTCGTAAACGACCGCGACCACTATATTTGGGGCGTACGGTTAAATGATTTTCAATTGTTTTTAACCTCTTGTAAGCGACCACTTGACGATTTGTCTGATCTCTTATGTTCGCTGTGTGTACTCTACTACTTAGAATATACAAAGACTTTAAGAATCAACATGGAACCGTGTGGTATCTTAGAAATTGCATGCAATAAATCATTATCCATAAAGTAGATGTGTCCGTACATCTTCTCGGACGATAGCCGGCCCCGTGGTTCGATTCTTGTAAGCGACCACTAAGTCTTCGCATTTTGGGTGGTCGCTTACGGGAGGTTCAACTGTATTAACTTTTGCTATAAGAATATCAAAACTGGTACAGCATGCATTTACCAGAAAGGAGAAAGCCAAAACGTAGTAGTTTTCTCCATTATAACCAAAACATGTACAACGAGCATTAATGGGGCGATTGAATTCTGACCTGATGAATTCTGAAACACTACCACAGCTCGACCACTTTCAGGTTTAAACCTCACTGTCTCCACAGGACCACCATTGTTCCTTGGACTTTCAAAGAACAGCTCGATGGCATCTTGGGTGGTGTCGTCTGAAATGCCGCTGACAAGAATGCTCCTGCACACAGGTAGGCGTTGGATTGTGACCCGAGCAGAGTCCATTCCCCTTCTCTCACCCTTCTCCTTGATTTTAAGAAAATCTAACGAATAAAGTGTAAGAAAAATCTGCTTTAATTAAATTCAAGTTTGGATCGCACAGATGTCAAATTACTGGCATATATTATTATGACTGATTTTCCACGAGGTAATAGACGAAAAAAGCTAGAGGGAAAAGTTCAACTCAAAAACGCAGATTGCATGCCTGCTGAACGATCGAGTGGTCTAGATCTCAGGAGTAAAACAGACGTTTTGGGGGGGATATTTCATAGTAAACATTAAAAAGTTGGGTATTCAAGACTCATCCAATTGTTCTCTCTAATGATGCACCACTTGAAATATGATTCTGATAATGAGTTTAGCATCCTTGCTGAGTCACCCATACCGCCTAGAGAATAGTCCACGGTCATAAATGCGAGGAAATGAATCACTCGTATTACAAAAGACGGTTTTCAGTTCCAGGCAAAACATTGTCTAAATTGCAGGAGGTCCCACTAGACCATCACTTCATTAAATTTAGTTGTTTTACGTGTGAATATGGACCTCGCAGATCTTTCTAAATTTTTTAACCAGCTACGTCTGAAAAAATGCAAGTTCAACTTCTCCTTAGTCTTCTGGGCGATACAGTCCCAGCAACGACGTTAGAAGTATCATGCGCTTGTCTTTCACTCACAAAAAGAAATACTGGAACGGGAGATTTCTTGAGGGTTTTAATTGGTTTTACCACACTTGAGAGTGAAAGGACAAAAACTTTGCAGGATTGTTAACTTTATCGAAGCAGAAAGCCCAGTGAGACGAAAACCCCTTTAGCTCTAGTAAGTTATTGATGTTAGATTTCTGATTTTTTTAAAATATTTAATTTGCCTTAATCTATGGAAATCGGAGAACGTTGGATCTATTCAAGTTCTATCTGACAAAAGTCTGGTTATCATTATTCCGCACCCCAGTACTGCCTTTGATACATATTCTGACACTTACACCGCCAGCAACAAGGGCCACCACAGGTTTTTGCCGCCGGCATGCCGGAAAAGTTGAACTCCAGTCAGCTTCGTAGGCATGTCGGCGGAGACAACTGCCTATGTTGTCGACGAACTTCTTTCGCCATATCGGACAGTATCCAAGGCAATAGCGGTGGCTATATCACAGGCAGGTAAGCGGTATTATGAGAACTCTTCGTGAGAGCTCTGTACACGGTAGAGTACACGGTTCTTGGCTGAGTGCGGGGCCGTAAATCTAAAGTAAAGGAAATTACTGACTGGCCAATCACAGTACGAACTCACGGTCGAACTACCGATGGCCAATCAAGCCTTGAAGCATAATAGGATAAGTCATAGTTGCTTGAATTTACTTGAGCAGCTTATTGCATGCCTGACCTTACTAATGAATTACTTTTTGGCACGTAACTGAAAACGGCTCATTTGTTATTAGTAGCAGGACTTACTTGTTATATCCTTAGTCATTGTAACCAGAGCTTTGCTTTTACTCATCTCTACTGTCTCCACCTCTTCACCACTCATCGCCTCAATAAAGTTCAAAACTCCGTCTCGTGTCGTCGACTCACTCAGCCCGCCAATAAGCAGTTTCTTTGGCTCAAACTTTGCGTCTCCTCCTGTATTGTCGATTGTATGAGAATCTTGACTATCCATTCCACTAGAAAGGCTCTGGGTTCGTCTTAATCCTAACTGGCCACGTCCTCTATTAATGTTGGGTCCAGACCTCCCCCTTTTCCCTTGGTCTCGTCTAGTTGCATAAATTTCCTCTCTACCAGAAAAGTCAAGCTCGTCATAGTATATTTCATCTGCTAGAGAAACGGAACCTTCACGTCTCCAGTTTGGACCTTGGCCGCCGCATCCTTGTCCGCGTCTAAACTGACCTCTTCCTCGCCCCCTTTGAGAGACGTGCGGTTGGCCTTGAAAAAATGAATCGCTTTCAAAAACGTTTTCAGCGCGTCCTCTCCCGCGGCCACGACCCTTGGGTTTGGGTTGGGGTTTTGGTTGATTCCATCGTCCTCTCCAGTTACCACGTCCCCTATGGCTCTGAAACATGTAGTCACCCACTGGAAATCCATAGGGAATATCGTCTACGTATTCTTGGAAATCTTCGTGTGCCTGGACGAACCCTCCTCTGGGTCTAAATCCTCCTCTTGGCCTTCCTCCAAACACTCGGCCTCTTTGTCTTATACCGCGATCGTTCCCACGCGGTACGTTTGGTTCATAACTGTCGAAACTATTTCTCAGATTCCTTTCTCCTTGTTCTTCCTCTGTTTTGTTTTGATTTTCCCAGTTGTTCTTCTTTCTTCTCCCTCCCCTTCTCCTTCTATTTTTCTGAGAGCCCTGTGATTCGCATTTTTCACTCCCCTTGTTTGCTGATTCTAACTGTGCAGGCGGGAGACCCCAAGCAGTGGGCGGATTGCTCGTCGGGGTTTTGAAGAGGTCGTGTGGATTTTCCATGTCCTGAAATTCTTGTAATCTCTGACTTGCCAAGTTCAGGTCTCCGTTAACATCATCGCGGCAAAGAACTCTTTTAATGAGAACCCTCGGTACACAGGAGAAAACTTCCTCGAGCTTTTTTAGCTTTTCCTCCAGCTTTTCTGGATCCTCTTCTTCTTCAATTTTCCTGGAGGAGGCTGTATCCATTGTAAAGTCCCCCTCCTCGCCGTCTTCGTTGCCTCTTCTTTCTTCGTCTGCGACTACAAAGTCCCTGATATCGAAATCCTCGCCTTCATTGCTTCCACTTTCTTCTTCCTCTTCCTCTTCGTGGCTGTTATCGTCTTCTGCAATATAAAAAACATTGCTCATGATCTAAAAAGGTTTTTTGCATTCGGTGCTCTCCCGTTTCCCCGAAAGTAAAACAATTGTTGATGAATAAAGGGATACCTTACATGATTTCCCATATATCGCGGATCGCCCTATGACAAATCGTTAGAAAGAGCCGAAACTCTCCCTTTCTCCGAATTTTAATAACCAATTCAGTGAAGCGAAATTTCCAAATGTATTTGGCTCATTTAAGGTTGCACCAAAGCTTCCATTTTATTACTTTTTTTGAGGATCTTATCATCCCTTTTAATTAAATCCGCTGTAGATCACCCCCTTGTACGTTTTTAAGGTTCCCTTATACCCTCCGACATTATCGTTTACAGATCAGGCCTTTCATCCCCTTATCCCGAACCAAACTTTCGCTACATCCCGTAATTTCCCGCATCCCGTGCAAACTTTCAATCCCGAATCGCATCCCGAATTCTGGCCTTTAAATAAGAGGCAAATCCCGGATCCCGAAAACCATATTGGGGATCCCATGCGATCTTCTTATCCATAAATAAGCTTCCACAGTTCATAATAGTCGCTACAGGAGAACGTACCAGATATGACAAACACCTTCCTTTCGTAATGAACAGACCAGACCAGACCCTTGTCACTCGGGTAACGCCACTCACGCAAAGATCAGTACGTCAGACAAATAACACATTCGTCCAAAACAGGAAGTAGAAGTCCTTAACTCTAGTGTGTTTGTTTCTGGTTCATTTCTTTCGGTACTTTTTTCTTTTTTTTCAACTGATTCCGGAAAGTCCCTTGTCCGAGGAGGAGGGAGACGAGAGTCACGATAAATTTCCAGAAATATAACGACTAATATGTCTTGCTTGAACTATTGATTTCTATCGTTTTTCTTTTAGTGAGAAGTCTGGTCATTTTTATCCCGACAGTTCACCTGAGATAATGAAACACCCGTTCATTTGTTTTGTTTTGTTTTTGCTTTTTCTTCGAGTCCTTTCTAGAAAATGAAAGGGCAGAGATGGTCACAGGGGCTTTCCCTTACAACTTCCTAGAAAGAGCTAAAAGGTTTACAGTTAAAAGATTTAAAAAATAAATATGTCGCTGTCTATCTCTTTCCCCTTTTGAGCAAGTATAAACACACACACACACACATAGCAATCTGATTAAGACTATTGATTCGCCTGTAAATTAATTACTGAAGCACTATCTGCTGTAGATACTAAATATACTGAAGTTACACATGCATGACCGAACACCCGGAAAAAGAAGCCAGATGCTGTAACCAAAAGCGAAATAGTGATCGTCGCATACTGACATGTCAGGCTTACCACCGGATTGTTTTAAAACCGAAAGCTTGAATGGCTTATGAATTAAGTCAGTGCAGTCTTCTTTAATCTCGGAGGGAAGCAATTCTCAACCATTTGACGTATAAATATATAAAGGCGTTCTGAGGCAAGATATGCGACCTACAGGCAAAAATCTCGAATTACAATTACTCACCATATTCGTCACTTTCCATTCCACCGGCCGGCTTGTGAATAAAGCTCGTTCTTTAGACTGTTATAAAGTTTCTCGATACCGAAGTTGGCACTGACGTACGTGGCGAACAACTTTTATGTCACAATTATTTAAGGCCACAAAAAGGACCTACTTTTGCTGTATAAGATGTTCAAATCCTGCCTGCACAATCGAACAAAACTAGGCAAACATTGACATCTTGCAATGGCTAGACTTCTACGCACTATTACAAGTTAAAAGCACAGGAAAACCGGGTGCTTCGATCGGTTTTCATGGAAATATCCTGCTTCCGGGTTTCCCGGAAAATGGCACGTCCGAAGCCTGGGGTCTATTAAAAACAAGATGCTGGTTGAACGCTGTCACATTTACCGCGGGCTTTGTTATCTACGGAATTGAATGGGGGCACACACAAAAGGACCCCTTAACGTCCTTAACGGCCTGCGGCGGTCTTTGACACGATCGGATTTTTAAAACTTTCCATCTGACCATTTTTTGCAAAAAAATAAAACATAACACCTTTACACAACTGCAAGCAAAATACCGACAGGAGCCTATTACATACCGATCTTTGTATGAGCAGTTATCTGAACTGAGTCAACTGATATCAATCGGAATAAATTTCCCCCTCCGGTCCTCCCCTCCCCCCTAAAGGGGACGTAAGCAGCTCCATGCATTGCTCGCCTTATTTCCACCCAGGAGTTTACCTTGTTGTGCCGGGGGCTGAAAACTTTAAGACTGTACATATATTTTTATAGAAAGCTTATCAATTACTTAAAAGTTTTCAAAATATTTGATGGTGGTGCATTGCAGCGACGGATCCACGGGAAGGGCCCAGGGGAGCCCGGTTATACAACCTTGGACAAAACGACAAAACAAAGAACCAATCAGAGCGTCTCAAATACTATATATATAGAACTTAGTCTCCGTCAGGCACAAACGCTTTCTCCGAAACGGTTCCCTGTTTTATACCAAAAAACCTCAAGGGAATTTAAAGACCGTGAAATGAAGAATAATGCCTAGAAAAACGTTGCTGAAAACCTATCTTGAAAGATAGGGCGGACCCATTGTTTTCTTGCAGAAGATTTCTTGTTTTCAAGTTCGTTGACGTCGTCCTCTCTGCAAAATAAACAAAGGCAAACGTAACAATGAGAGTCGCCTCCACCAATTTTTTTTTTTTTTTTTGGGCTCACGGTAAACAGGCTTTAGCGAACTTACGAGAACAATAGAAATAACCTTTCGGACGGACGGCTGACATAGTGCTTTACCAGAAAGCACAATACAAAAGGGTAATAGACCAATTCTGATATATTAAAATTTTCTACTTGGCTGCGAGGCTTGGGGGAATAAAACAAATAAATCATTTTGGGGCTCAATAATGAATAATACATCACTTTTGTCTTATTCCACCAACCCGGAGCAAACTCGGAGCCAAATACGAATTTGAATATATCGAAAAAGGTGAAATTATCTCACAGGCACGTGACCTGATTGTGGGATACACGTGAAATACGGTGATAAAAAATGCATGCGAAAAAACGCTGAAGAGCTCATTTTGAAGTGACTGACGCAAAAGACTAGGATTGTATTGTTGTCGGAATGCCTGGAAAATTATAAGAGTTTTATAAATGTAATACTGTCGAACCTGTATTTAAAAAGCGGATCTCCACTAAGCGGTCACTTACAAAAGCCCCGGAAATAATTTTCCTAAATTACTGTAAAACTGGCCTGTATAAAGCGGTCGCGGTCACCTTTTCCGAAAAGTTTAAACGGTCACTTTGAGAAGAAGTAGCATCATAGTACAACAAGTCGCACTGTGTATGGCGTCAAGTGGTCTTTAACTTTTTTTCTTTTGGCCCAAGAAGAGGTAGAAACAGGTGAACGTCAATTTGTCGAGGGGTGGATAATTCGCTCTTTGACTACCTTCATTTTCTTTAATAACTCTTACTTTTGTCAAACCTTAACTGTATTAAGCGGTCAGTAAGCCATTCCCAAATGGCGACCACTTAATACAGGTTTGACTGTACTGAAAAAAAAAATGCTGGACAACAATCCTTGCGCTCCGGCGACTTCAGTCCATTGCTGCACTCCACTATACATCACTATTCAAACCACCATAAATTCGCATGGTTAAGAGTTTTAAAATTGTTGACCCCAAAAATGGTAGTTCCAATATGTGCTTTTAGGTCTTCCAATCTCTGGTTTTTTAGGGTTGTAGACCATAATTCTGGCCTAAGATAGGCCACGTGACCCAGAGCTGCACTTATACCAGCCTGTGATAAATTAAATAGAGCCTTTCTTTCCATGAGAGGTAAACGCTGAATAAGAAGCCGCGGGCTCAAGATTATGTTTTTTCTGACTTAGCAAAAGAACGTATGGGTCCAAGGAAGCAGGGCTTGAACCGTTCCACTGGAAAGGCTGCTCAAGGAGGTGCCAACAAAAATAAGCAGCCTAAATCCCTGAAGAACAAACTCAGAGATGTGCAAAGGCTGCTTAAAAAGGTAAGTCTGCAGTCAGTACCAGCAAATCTTGATATGTGTTGCGCACGTGTTGTTTCAGTGCGTGTCAGGGAACGGTACGGTCATTCTGACACGTACTTCTCCTTTCTTGTAGCTGCATAAGTTGAATATTATTGACTTTTCGAAGTGTAATCAGCTGAACAAATTCTAAAGCAATCAACTTTCAACTTTAAGGTTTTAACGTGAATTTTTGTAAAAATTGATCGCGTCCTCATCTGCTTGTTTAGAACTCTAGAAGGTTCAAGTTTTTCTGTGTTTTAATGACCTAGTGAGAGTTACCCTTCCAAAGATGGTCAAATTGAGCTGGACTGACCTGCGAGCAGAGGCCCTTTGATCTTCAAAGGGAAGAGAAAAATGAAGAGGAAGAGACTTCCTTTTTCGTCAGTTATTTAAGAAGATAAAAGAGACTCTGCTCGCAGAATGCATGAAGAGCTGACTCAGATTGCAGTTAAAATTACACCAAAATATAAATAAATTAAAAAACTATTAAATAACAAATAACTAACATAAAGCCATGTTAGGGTAAAATCCTGACAAACGACATGGCCTGGAAACAGGAACATAAGACTCGATGAACAACAACAAGATGGATAACTGATAAATACCGACAGTGACATGGCCTACTCCTCAAAATGCAAGATGGCTGTATTTGAAATTTAGACATGGGGTATACCCCCCTGCCCTCACTAAGGAGGCTTCCAACATGTGAGAACCTTAACTAGCCCCGCACTGTAGTTTTTATTCTCCCAAATTTGTGTAGCCTTTTTCGTGCTCAAACAAAAGTCAAAATATAGATGATAGTCCCTAAAAGAATTGGCTGAATCTGAACAACAAGTTCAAACCATTTTATGTTTTTACATTATGCTTTTTGTACAGCATTTCCTCTGAAACATTTCACACAGTTATAGAAACAGAGGAAGCTCATGTGAGACGGTTTTTACTAGCCTGCGAACGGCAGATGCATTTCCGGTCATCGCTTCTCCCCCTCCAAAAAATAATGTCTGCGAACCCGAGCGACAAAACAATTTCCTTGATGTAAAACCTTTGTAGCCAATCACAGTTAAGCTCTTAAAATCAAGGAACTAACTCGCAAGACTTCTTGCAAGATCGTGCACGGTGGACATGTTTACAAGTCGAAATTGAAGGGACAACGTGGCCTGTGTACAGCTGCCCTTTTTCCTCAGAGCGACACATTCACAAAGGTTAATTTGCCCGGATTGTGGGACTGATTGATGAAATAAGTACCAAGAGGATTCATACTGGAGAGAAGATTAGAGGAAATTTTTTATCTATTTGCCTACAGAGTCAATGATTTAGCACACCTTGTTATTTTGATCATGTTCAAAATGATAAATGTCCTGATGACAGTAGACGCATCATGCCATTTGCTGATTCTGTTCCTTTCTGGTTCCCTGCAGCAAAGTATGCTTTGGAGAACTCTTCGATAGTTTGTTGTGTGTAGATATTTTTTAGTATCCTTTGTCTTTGAAAGCTAGGACATGTGGTAATTGATTTACCATGTGTAGCTATGTGTGGTTGCTTCTTGGTTCAGTCAGAACTTTGATCAGATCGAAAGCATTTAATTTTTGTTCTTATTTTCTTTAAATACATGTTTTTTTCAAGGTTTTAATTTCCATAGTTTTTTATAAGATGAGTCAAAGCATCCTAGCTGAAATGTCATCTTGACTAGTAAATATTTATTTCACGCTGGGTCCAGCCCTGACTGACTTGTAATTTTTCAGATCATTGTTTTGTGGCAGTATTTGTAGGAGTTTGAATTATTGAGAAGCGATTGTCAGAGATTTCTGAATCCATCAAGGATGTGTCTGTACAATCGATTCACCAACTTTTGTCAGCGCTGGTTAAATTGAAATAAATCGTGAGTCTGGGGGCGATGTTATTTTCCTTTCCCTGTAGAATCCCTGTGGCGATTATTTTGTCCAGGTTTTGTTTATGTCACGTATTACTGTATCTTATATAAAAAAGCGACACCACATCACATATATAGCCTATAGAAAGCCGCTCCTTTACAAAGAAGTCAGCATTTTAATCCGCAGGAAACCTGGTAAAAGTTGTGAAATTCACGTTCCAAACCGTATTTGATAACTCTCGCCAAAATACAAGAACCGCCACTCGTGAGGTCGCGAGGAGTCACTCGAGCTTTATTCTATCCTTTGCTCTGATTGGCCAACATCAAAACAAAAGGTTTCACGTCACGGAAATCGTTTTGCCGCCTGGGTTCACAGACGTTATTTTTCAGAGGGAGCGTAGCGAAGACCGGAAATACGTCTGCGGTTCGCAGGCTAGGTTTTTACTTGTACATGATTGTTTAAAGAGGGTAAGCTTTGATGTAACTTGCTGACAGAAGTATCTTTTGAAGAATGAATAGAAACAGAAATGAAGAGAATCTTGTGTGCAATGATACCAAAAAAAATGAGCTCAGAAAGCCCTGGATGTAGGTGTCATGGAAACCTGTGCACAAAACCATAAAAATTTAGTTAAATTAAAATTGAAAAGAAACCACTGTAAAACCTTGTTAAAGGGTTCACTGACAAGGCCATAGAAAATGTTCACATTAAGTTTCAGTATTAAGCAGGTTGAATTTAGAGAAGATACAGTATACATGTAAGGGCTTTCTTTCCCCAGGGACAAAGGAAACTGTCGGTAATAATGAGTTGTCCGTGTTAAGCATGAAGTAGGGTTTAACTGTAATGGAGTTGACACTCTTCACATGTCTTTTGACCCTTGAGGGAGATATACCTCCTAAACAATATATTATTATTCTTTTCATTATAGTTGTTTGTGGTACTGTAGGCTTGTTTTACAAAACACTGATCTCATTAAAACGTTTTGTTTATGTTGTTGTTGTTGCTGTTGTTGTTGTTGTTATAGTCTGACCTGCCAGCCACTGTGCGAGTCATACAAGAAAGAATGCTTGAAGTGTTGAAAGAAACCATCAAAGACAAAGCAAAGGAAGATAAAGAGAAAATAATTATTCAGCGATGTAAGAAAGTGAAATTTTTTGGTAAGTCATAACTTTGCTGCTAAAATTAATGGGTACCACTGATTTGTGAAAGTAACAGGGGTGCTGATGAATCAGATCAAAATATATGTGAATGTAGCCAACCTTAAGTTTATATTAAGGCCTGGCAACCTTATGTTATTTGCCACCTCAGAAACTTGACGGGAACTGAACTGAGTTAACTTTCGCAAAGAGTTCTGGTACTGTTACTGCATGGGACAGGTGAAACAAATTGGTCAATAGCTCTGTATTGGTCCCAGAAGTATTTGCAAAAGCTAACTCAGCCAGTTTCCTTCTGGTTTTTTAAGTGGCAAATATAAAATATTAATATTAAATATTTAATATGAAATATTTTAGCAGAATCTTCTGATGTAAGCAAGTCCCACTGTTGGCAAGCATATTCCAGACGTTTTTATTGGTGGGAAGGAATTCATGTCATGGGTGTGTGTCAAAAAATATGATTGCAGTTAATTTGTCTACCTTGCTGCTAACTCCATGGTTTACCTTTTCTCAGGACGTTTCAGTGAATGAGTCTAAATCTTGCCTATATACTAAAATCATTTTGTGATGTGATTAATATGTTTTATTTAAGTCAATGTTTTCCTTTCTTCATTGGTTTATTTTTAGAGAAAAGAAAACTCTTTAGGAAGTACAAAACCTGTCTGAGAGAGCTAAAAGAGTGCAGTGAAAATGAAGAAAGGTTTGTTAGTCTTTTTCCTCATTATCTGTAGGTACATGTATAGGCAGGGTTGTCACCAGAATTTCAAGTCGCCATTTAAATATAACAAGTAGGCGGGGAATCAAACAGCTAGGGATTTTTTCTTTTGGTTCTATTTTTCTTCTGTTTTCCAATGAAAGTAGCCAGGGGACTTTATAGTCTGTAGCTGAAGGAAATACCCAGCCCCCAGCTCTTGTTGACAACCCTGTACATGTAACAATAGCCTGTGTGTAGCCGCACTCTCCCCCCAAGGGTGTGGCTGCTCGTAGGCTAATGTAACAAGGGTTGGTTTTAGACCACAGGCTATCACCAGTATTTTTTGTCTTTTGTATAAATCAACAACTCTATAGAGTCAATGGGTTAAAGGGACACAGTCAGCCATGGGACCACGCTGACCTGGACACTACTTTTGACAGTTTGAAAAGCATTTACCTTAACCTGAAATCAAATCTACGCGTCCGATACATTTAGAAATCCGCTTCAATCCTACCTAGTGTTTCATTCGATCCTCAATCTTTTACTGAAAATCTCTTTTCGAGCAAACTTTTACTCATCCTATTACATTATTTTATCATATTTGGTTTAAAACAGTATTCAAAGGAACATGAACAGAAGAGGTTAGAAACGCGTAGGTGCCGGGCGGGAGAAATCCCCTTTGTTTACCAAAATGACAAGAGAAATAAATCAATCACATTGACGAGCAATTAATCATTATATATATTTGGAAAATGGATGGAAAAGGTTACATATATTGGGAAAATCAAGCGTTCTCGACCGTGAACCTTCCACACAGTACAATCACTCAGACTTCATGCAATTTCTCACCTCTACTGATGTTCAAATTCGGAAGTATTGGTCGATGTTTGGCTTCCCTTGAAAAATCCATTTGTGAATTCTCAATGGTATATAAAAAATGAGTGCTCTGATGTGGCTTAGGGCCTATAATCATGATTTTGGCTTGTAACAAGTTCAACTCTACAAGGTTTGTTCAGAGTATTCCCGATACGCTTTTGTTTCACGCGCGTCTTGTGACATGCAGATCAGCTAAGAAATGGTATTTAATGCGCGTGTGCGTCAGCTGACTGTGTCCCTTTAACTTGTACATATGTACCTAAAGAGCATACAGTAAATTGTATCAAATTGACATGCAGGTTAGTGCAAGATTTTGTGAAAAGAATAAACTGGCAGTAGATATACCAGAGATTACCATTAATATTGTAAGTATAATGTTGTGAGCAGATGCTGAGCAGTTAAACATCATCTGGAAAACTATGAACTGATATATGAAACCACTGGCCATGTTGGCTAATTGAGATGTAACACCATCATGGCAACAGGACACCCAAGGAACCACAGGACAACCAAAGATTAGTGTGCTGCTTGCCTCAATTATGGAGTGTGAATTATTATTGTTGTGCCAATAAAATAACAGTTGCAGTCAATATGTTGCAGTAATAAAAGCTGTGTTGTTACCAATTGGTGTTCATCTGGATGAACTTTATTAACTACCCAGCAAAACATACAATAGCCCGGAACCAAGCTCCACAGTTGGGGAAAAGGATAAAAAAAATTGGTGATTGAAGAGAGGGGAAAGGGTGGCACCACCCTTTTCCTTCCCCAGTCTGCTACCCAGCTCACCTCGCTCGCCAACTTTTGTGCCTTGTACCTCCAATTTTTGCAATTTTTTTCCCACAGCAGCGCCTGGTCCCAGGCTATACACTGCATAACTGTCCACAATATACTACTGTAAGTGACAACAGTAATGCAAACAAGTTTAACGGTCCATCTAATAATATTGTCATAAATTATATTCTAAAGAAGTACTTTCTTTGTTGCTAAGTCATTTTGTTTACTTTCTTTTAGAAATGCACTGCGGAAAGAACTTGAAGAAATTAAACTACAGTGGAATTATGTTATTGTGAGTAGGCATTAGAGAAAAATTTACATATATTATGTATGTAGCTTTAGTGGCTAAGTTACAGTTTTCTTTGTTGTTTTTTTGTTATAGCACTTCCCACAAGACGTAAAGTACATTTCTCTGTTTCCTGCCACATCATACACCAATGTAGAAGTTCTTCAGAAACAAGGTATACAATGGGAAAAAAAAGCTAAGTGTTACTTTAACAGTCAAAGGTTGCATAAACAACACCCCCAGGAAGAAGAATGAAAGCATCCTTAACTAGAGTTGGCCTCCTAGAGAAATTATCCTACTGCCACATTCAGAGAATTTTATAATCGTTCGTCTGCAGTTTAGATGTTTGGATAGAAATTTGTGGTTATAAACTTGGGACGCTTTCAATTTCAATGTTACAACTGACTTGCCAGACCAGAATTTGGCGCGAATTTGATGTAACGTGAATTTGACGCCAGCTAGGTGGGTTACCCCAACTTGAAACATTCACTTGGCAAAATTAGATCCCGGCTGAGAGGGTGCCCGGACTGACAGATCGGGCAACCCGCCTGGGTGGGTCACTCAACCTACAGTATCATGTAAACATGATCAACTCATAATTAAATGGAGAGGTTATATGGACAGGCCAGTTACCCCACATAAGCGGGATACCTCCCCTACCTGGGGTTGTTTAAGTAACTGAACAACTTGTGAAAACATTTGAAAGGACATGAACTCAATTTTCCAGTGACGTACTCATTGGCATTGCTGTTATTAGGCCTTAAAGCGCCCGTGGCGTGTAACGTTTATTATTTAATTGAAAGTACACATTACTACGAGAACCTCTGCGAAAAAAAAAATGGCGACTTGATTTCTAAATTGTCGATTTTATGCATACTTTAATTAACAATTAATGAATGAGGATGAGTATCTTATGAAGAATTATGGAGATGGAGGAGGGTGTTATCTGTCGAGGCCATAGGCTGAGGTGGATAACACCCTCCGAGATCTCCATAATTCTTCATATGATATGAAAGCTGAATTCAATAATTGTTTTATTATTCACTCAAAATAATTCATAGTTTAAAAACAAAGCTAAAACATGCTTACCTCTATCGATGTTAAGTTCACCTTTGATAGTGCACGTTTAGGGTTTTTCAGCTCTGCAAATGTTCTCCAAATAGCAGATGTCGCCGTTCTAGTTGTGTTCCTGCTGTTCCTGCCTTGTTTTTAGCTATAATTTCACCTAGTTCTTACTCTTGAAATGACTGAAATGTCCACCATTTTTTGTTTTCACAACCAAAACAACTCAACTTCGTTCCCAGGTCTTCTCAGTTAACGGTGCCTTAACCTGCTAGAACGCTGCATTTTTGACGTCATTTCCTCGTTAAACACAAAATTCTTCCAAATTTGGTCATCAGTAACTGGTTATGGTGAATTATGCGTGTGCTTTTAGCCAATCAGAATCGGGGAAATATTTTGAATGAATAATAATATTCTTTTAGTAGGATCGCCTGTTTTGTTGCATCAAACTGTGATGCATTTTACTGGCATCTTACTTGCTGTTTCAGTTTGTGAATTGGAAAAATATTTCTAAGCTTCCACACCTGTTTACTTGTATCTTAATCACGTGTTCCTTTGTTTCTGAGAGGCTTTCGAGAGAAGACTGAGATGAATGGAGCCGCAAAATGGTGGCAAATTTAAACGTTTTCTTACAGTCAAACCTCTTTAATACGGACACCAAAGGGACAGAACCAAGTGTCCACTTTACAGAGGTGTCTGTATTACAGTCAAACCTCTTTAATATGGACACCAAAGGGACAGAACCAAGTGTCCACTTTACAGAGGTGTCTGTATTACTGTCAAACCTCTTTAATACGGACACCAAAGGGACAGAACCAAGTGTCCGCTTTACAGAGGTGTCCGTATTACAGTCAAACCTCCTTAATACGGATACCAAAGGGACAGTGCCAAGTGTCCACATTACAGAGGTGTCCGTATTACAGTCAAACCTCCTTAATGCGGAAACCAAAGGGACAGAGCCAAGTGTCCGCTTTACAGAGGTGTCCGTATTACAGTCAAACCTCCTTAATACGGATACCAAAGGGACAGAACCAAGTGTCCGCTTTACAGAGGTGTCCGTAGTATAGAGGTAGGGAATGTATGATTTTTGGGATTTTTGGGACCAAACGAACAGTCCGTAATAGAGAGGTGTCTGTAAGGAATGTACCTTCCTTTACTGTTTTGAGCCGCTGTTATTTTCATGTTTCACTCAATTTGTTGGCAGTTCGGACTACCGTTTGAATTTTAAAAAATTTCGCGACACAGTTCCTTTAAGTCACGCTGTTAAGTTATATATTGAATTCTCTTGCAAAATTTCAGAACAAATTCTTAAAGACATCTCAGAGAAGATTGCGATTGGACAGTTTGAGGATGCATCCGAGACAATTGGACAAATGGGCAAAGGATTTAAACAAACAACGGCTGGAAAACCAAAGTCAATGGAAGGCAAGACTAAACAAGTGGAACAAGAAAGGAAAGAAGGTAAGGTATCTATTTATTCATCTGGATGAGAACATAAATGTCTTTCTGTTCAGTTTATTTTTACAATACAATCTCTGATTTGAAAGCTCGTGAATACATCAAGTTAACTGGGTAGGTAATAAGACTTTGTAATAAATGAAAGGCGAATGTCGTACTGGCGACACATTTGGTGGGGGAACGCGGCGTCCTAACTTTCCGTCTGGTGAGGGGCAAGGGGAGCATTACTCTTCTTCGATGCTCTTCCTTATTGTACCTTAATGGGCGTATGTTTCTTATTACACGTATCACGAGAATGTTATTTCATAAAGCTTATTAATTTTGTAGAAATCTATACGCTTTATTATCACGTGTGAGAAAAGCTTATACAGCTGTTTTCATATGTGAAGGTATAACCAATCAACGACAGCGTAAACGCCTTCTGAGCCAATCAGAGTCGTTTATCTTTTGCGTTCAAATGGCTTTCCAGATTTGGCGGCTTTTTAGCGGCGCCTCCTCCAAATTTTTCTTTAGAAAATGGCGGGGACGAAGGAAAGCAATAACAGGTTTGTGTCAAAAGCCCTCACTCGCTCGTACCTCGCTCGTTCGGGTTTTGACACAAACAACTCGTGAATATAAACCCATACGCCGCACTTTCTATGACGTAAACTATATCAGCTGACTTAACTACAGCGGGTACTTATACCCATACTGGGTATTACCTCAAATGTCACGTGCACCCTCGATCCTTACCGAGTTAAGATCATCTCGCCACCGACGAGAAGCCGACGTTCGAAGTAATATTGCAGTCGGTACCATTTCTATTAAATTACTTTTTCTCTCTTCGCAGTTTTAGCGAGAAGAAGGAAGTCTCACCAAGTCGAATTCCAGCCAAACGAAAAAAAACATTAGGAACGAAAAGCAAAAAGAAAGGAGGGGGGAAATTTTGAAAATTGATCTCAGGCCAGGTGGTTTTTTGCCCCGTTGTTAGAATAGAACGTGCGCATTCCCAAAACCAAAAGCTGTATTGTAACATCAGAGACGAAAGCGACTTCGTTGTCGAATCTCGTCGCTTACTTAGTACTCTGGGTATTGTTGGTCGCCTCAAAAAACCATGTTTTACGAAACGTCAAGCAGTCAGTGGGTAAAATTCTTATATTTTAATAGAAAGTGAAGATGAGACTCCTCCCAAGGTGAATCTTGATGACGACTTCTTTATTGACACAAGTCCAAGCACAGGTAACAAAAATAGTGACTAGTTATGTTGTGGAGACTGAATCAAGTCGCAATTCAAGTCGCTCACCGACAGGATGCGGTGAGAGGCACGGCTGTATTCGCAAGCTATGTTCAACCGGTTTTATTCGAAAGTTCACGCTAAAGGATTTCATCCACTAGTTAGAACCGCACACTAAAGAAATAAATAAATGGTACCCTGTGTGAAGAGGTTTCATATGACTGGTCACACTATAGGATTTCATCCACAGACTCAAAAGTTAAAACTACATACAAACTAAACAGTACAATGTGAAAGCATTGCTGAAGAGGTTTCATTTGAATGGTCACACCATAGAATTTCACCCGCACACTCGGAAGGTACATTAGCCTGCCCACAGACGTTTCTTCTTGTTTCTTGGACGAATTTTTGCGAGTGCCGAGAACATCAGAAGGAGCGCTAGCGCTTAATAAATCCCCCGCGGTTTTCATTTTCATACGCGGGCTCGACTGGATCTCTAGAAAAATAGAGGGTCTCTGAACAGGCTTAAAGGAGACCGACATACTAAATAAATAGTACCACGTTAAAGTACTGCTGGAGAGTTTTCATTTGAATGGTCACACCCTAGGATTTCATTCAAAGGCTGAAAGCCTGAATTTAATTCGTGGAGAGAAAAATGTTAAAATATAATGTTCAGGTTTATTTTCCTTTATTTTCTTATTTAAACGACAACGAGAAATTGTGTTTGGGGCTTTAAGTGTTAACTTGCTCTCTATTTTTTTTATCAGAGCCCCCAACGTTCGAGGAAGAATCCAGAAAAAAGAAAAAGAAAACTAACAAGACACGCAAACGATCGCAGTTTAAATTTGAGAAAAAGTAGGCTGAATTGCACTTGTGAAGCATTATTAACAAAACTGTATGTTTATATGTGTAAATATGTGTACAAACCGTCTGTTAAGTAATTAAAGAAGATATTTATTTGCATAGATCTTGTGTGTGTTAATTTTATTTTTGTCTTTGCAGAAAGACAAAGACAAATGAACAAGCTAAAAACCAACAAAAATTGATATTATCTACAAATGGAGGTTTCTAAAAATGAAAAAAATAAGCAATTGTTCAACGTCTGCTACGAAGAGGCCTACACGCCTGATGTTTTAAAAATAAGTTGTTTTTCATTCTTATTGCTTTTCTTACTCGATTTCCTGTCGAAGTTTACGTCTACCTTTCTGTACTCAGAGTCACAACACAGAATGGCCCAAAAACCACTACGTTACAACGTATATCGCTTCGCAAGCGTCGTTTTAGGGAGTTTAAACAACGACGACGGCGACGGCTACGAAAACGTCACTAAAAAAATGCATTTGCGCTGCCTCAAACTTAATCGCGCTTATTCCATCTCGTTTAATTCGTCAAATGTTGGCCAATTTTTTGGGGGTTGAATTTTAAAGGACTGCATCAAAGTTCAGGAAAAGAAAGAGAAAGTTGTTGTCTTTTGTTCCCGTCCTCGACGAAACGTGAAATTAGGCAGTTTCACGTTGTAGTCGTGCAACGACGGCAGAGAAATGTACAAAAAGCGTGATGCACGTGCAAAGTTGTTGTTTTGCCAATCTTAACCTATTTCTTTTTTGCCGTTCTCGTTGCCGTCGCCGTCGTCGTTGCCTAAACTCCCTTTTAATTTCCATGCAGTGGCGGGCGGGCGGGCACAAAAATCACTGAAAGTGAACGAAGAGTTTACCCGGTACGGTTTTCGAGACCGGACAAAAGCCGTCCGGTACGGCGTGAAGGTCACAGCCTTCAATAAAAAACTTACTGCATTTTTTTTTTTTCGTTTCAGCCATATTAGATTTTGAGACTGAAATAAGTTTTTACTATCATAGTTTGCCATTACTTATGTATAAACCGAATTAGAATTTATTTAATTAACGTGGCGTTTAACGAAGAGTGACGGCGATTAACAACCAGTGTTGGTGTCTGTTTTGTTTGCCAAGCACTTAATATATATATGTCGGCCATCACAATTTACAGAGCAGTTGAGAGGATTTGAAGTTTCACCTTTATTGTATTTAATCTTTGCCTTCGGTTTTGGCTTAAGCAAAAAACCTTTCGCACTAAACCGCGGAATTTTTTTCTTAATTATTGTTTTCTTCCTCATTACTCTAGATTATTATTACAATTAATATTAGTATTAGAATAAGTATTGGCGTTAGTGTTTTGATCGTAAGTTAAAAAAACAAACAAACGACTCAGTTTCATTTAAAATAACCTGGGTCGAAAAAATGGGCACCAAACAATTAACTAAAGGCAATTCCCGCGAGAAATTCCTAAGAATGGAAAAAGCCACAATCCGTGCTTCTGAATGAGTTACAACACGTCGGGTTTTGTCTTTTGGTTCAAAGCCTTGGATACCTTTGATGTTCTCAATTGTTCTCCATAAAAAAGAAATATGGACTTTTAGTTTTTAATTACGCTCTTGGAAATATTATCGGTTCTTTCCAGTTTCCATAACAATAATCCATTTATTTAGCTGAATGTCGCACTTGATTAGAGTTCGGGCAGGTGGCTGCGTCTGCTTGCCATGCGTATAAATTTAAAAAAAGGAATTTATTCTAATGTCGTTTTTATAGTAGTTAAGTAGCCACGCCACAAGCTTCAGTTCAAGCGCTTCTACTCAAAAGATAACTCTACGATCTTAGCTTTCAAAGAGCAGTTTGGTTTACCCGTCGAAGCCTTTTAATGGCGGAAGGAAGGACAGACGAGTCCGTCGCGCCGGGAACCGTCCAGGTTGTTGTTGAATTGATTGTTTTTATCTTCATTACGCTTGCAACACTTACAGGGAATTCTTTGGTTGTTATTTCGGTGATCAAATTCCGCCATCTTCGGACAAACACGAATTTCATCTTGCTAAGCTTGGCGTTGACCGACTTGAGTATGATGCTTATAATGGTGTTGAATGCAGTTACAACCGTCACAGGAGAGTGGATTTTTGGAGAGTGGTGTTGCAAAGCGGTCGCTTCTATTGGTCTAACGCTCTCCTTCATTTCAATTCTTCACTTATGTTTCCTGAGCGTGGATCGCTACATCGCTATTCACAAACCACTTCGTTATCAATTCATTGTAACCAGAAGAAGAGTGATCACGTTTCTGTCACTGATTTGGATGTCCGCTGCCGTTATTGTAAACATCCCACTGGCGAATTTTGAATTCAGAGCGGATACCTATGGATGCGCTGATCGCAAGTCCACTAGGACCAACAAGCCATCATCGCCGTATATTTTCTTTCTCGTCGCATTGTTTGTCATCATCCCCTTCGCGATTATTTTCCTTTCAAACGCCCTCGTATTTAAAACAGCTTTCAAGCAAGCGAGGCAGTTGAGCCGAGTTGAGAAAAGCCTGAGAGAATCCTCTGCCGATATTTGCGATCAAGATGACACACACCCAGTAAAGACAACAGAACCACACTCGCTTAAAAGAGAGATCAAATCTGCGCGAACTTTTGCCCTTGTTGTTGGTATATTTTTATTTTGTTATACACCTTTCTATACTGCGGGTACTTACAGAAAGATCGCCGGACCTGTTAAAGTCCCCCCGATTGTTATGTTGGTAACGATGTGGATTGCTTTTGCCAATTCGTTTTGTAACCCGATTGTTTATGGCTTGAGGTATGCGCCTTTTCGTAAATCCTTTAAACATTTATGTTCTTGTTGTGGTAAACGCGGATTCGTTGAGCGACGGAATTACAGTTGCACCAATTCTAATTTTTCTTGGCGACGCGAAAGACAAGAAACAGTTCTGTCGCGTAACTCAGCATTGTAGTAAATACATTTAACTCCTTAAAACAGACTTCCTTGAAAAGAAAAAAAAAATAAGAAAGTTTTTTTTCCCAAGTATGGAAAGAGGTCACCGCGGGAATACAAACATCAAACAGCTTTTATTTGAGAAAACACTGGTTATTTCACCGAACTAGAAAAAGGCTGTAAAGTCTGCGATTCCAATTTGTTGCTATGACTTGGCTATTTTAAAAATAAAATTAGCTAGTCACTTAAACTGTAAATTTAGTGTGCTAGACGAAGTGAACATGTATCGGCCCTACAAATTTATGCATGCATACTTAAAATAAAAGAAACACTCGAAGGAGCTCAACTCGTTTTTTGTATTAAAAACAGTAGAAAGCAATTGTAACATTGCTGAAAAGAGCGATGATTGCAAGTCGAAATAAAGAAATTTTCTGTTGCTTTTGTAATGAAGTGAATATCCATCGTGTGGTGATTTTTATCGTCTCAGGGGATGCTTAATGGAATTTTTAATAAGGCTGCACTTATCTCCTGTGGAGAAAGTTGCCCTCGCTTAGCTCCTGCTTTTTGTTTTGTTAATCATATTTAAGAAATTTTTACAGAGTAGTTTTAAAGTTAGTTTTATATTTTTTAAAAAAAAAAAGATTCAAAAAGGAAATTTCTACGGACCAAAAAACCCAAGCCAAATTGGCTGTGTTTATCTTAAAACAAGGAAATGGTGCTTTTAGAATTATTTTTAATTTTTAGCCTGAAGCAAACTTTGACAAATAAATTTTCTTTTTTCGCAGGAACCACCCTCCTGTGTGGTCTTTTCGGAATTGTGTATTTTATGTAAAAATGGATGTAAAGATGAGATTTCTCTTATTACAAAAAGCATTTTTTTGGGGGAGAAAAATAACGGAGGGAAAGGAAGAGCACTAAATGCGATGTTATCATTGAGTGATAAACAGAAACTCGCTATCCAGCCAAAACAACAGTTCTGCCATTATGGAAATCAAACCCTGGAAAAAATTTTTCCTTCATAATAATTTGAAAAGGAAATCAAAGAAAAACATTAGTGTCTCCATAACTGCAAAAGGAACTAATGTTGAATGTTGAGTTAAATTTAATGAGTCAGCTGCTTCGATTTCCATTACGGCCTGTTCGGCTCCTGTTGATACTGGTCAATTTATGATATTAAAATTAATTTTGAGACGTTTATTTTTTTGTAACAATTTATGCCAGGTGCCCAGATGGTTTTTGCCTCTTTTAATATTCTACTCATTATGTCTCTTTCCGTCTGCTGTTGCGTGCAATATGCTATATTCTACTTTCACTACTCACTGCACGAAAAATTTGATTTACACCAAATTCAAGTTTACGTTATGTACTATCATGCGTACTTTGGCCAGTGTTTATCTCCGGGGATGGACTCCCTAAACAAAGAGGAGGGGATGCCCTTGGTCTCGTCTTAAACTCTAAATTTCGTTGCTCTGAGCGGGTATTAATGACCCTACCTGTACCAAGATTTTGATAGAATGGTCAAATAAAGCCATCCTCCCCACCAGAATCACCCTTCACCCTCCCCCTTCGACTCTCCAGGCTAGTCATATCTCACCTGGGTGCCAAAGACTTTTCACGCGCGGTTTCTTATGACCGCTCGCGGCTTCGGCCTTCGGACGACACGGAAGCATCCCGCCGCACGCGACTGTCGCCGCGCGCGAGAAAAAACCTCTTGTACCCAGGGTACCGTTATTTTTCTCGTACAGAAATTTTGATGTTTTAAATAATAGGCGACAAAGTCCGCGCAGTTTTTTAAGAAGATGAGAAGATGCGTGTCAATAACACGTCGAGATCTTGCCGTTGAGATTTTCTCCAATGAAACGGTGGAATTAACACGACTAATGTCACTGATCTACAACATCTATATTGATCCGGCAGGTTTTACGTACATAATCTGCAAGATTTATACGGATCTTTTATCACTAGAAACTAAGCAACCACAGGGCTTTTCAAGTAAAAAAGCGAGCAAATGCTGAAAAATATGCCCGGAAAGATTCAGTAGAAATTCATTCTGATTTCAGCGCGCGGCCAAGTGTTGAACAAGGTGAGAGCGCTAATTGTTCTGTTGACTTTCAAAGGCAATGTAAACAAACGGCAATATCTTAAAATCTACTCATTAGAGTTTAACAAAATTTGGCAGAACTGCAGTTATTATCTCACTCAATGATAACCTAAAAACACAAGTCAAACATAGGAGTTTTGTGACAATCAAAATTTCAAACAATAGCTTTTTTCTCAAAAATTTCAAGAAACTTCGAAAACTGAGGGATAATAAATTGCAAGCTGTTGGCAATTCTCGAAAATTCATGAGGAAATTAGACAGTTTTACAGTCTCCTATTTTCCATAAGATCGACGAGATCGAGCGCTCAGCATCACTGGCAGCCACTTTGTTATTGGTCTCCAAAGAACCGAGCGGGCGGGTGGGTGGGCGTCGGGGTTTATAGATAGTCATCTTTGATGCTAGACTGCTAGACTAGGTCAAGATGGCCGCTAATCTCGTACCCAGATGTCACTCTGTTTTACACTGAAAAGTGAGAGATCTGGGTACGAGATTATATGGCCGCCTGTAGCGCTCGTTCTTAACGATCTTACGTGAAAATAGGGGACTGAGAACAGTTTATCTATAAGGAAATCAAATGACTGGATTTCGCTTAAACCTACGAAGTTAAAAATTTTAGGCTTGTTTTAAATCATCCATGTTGCCATGAAAACAATTGAACTCTTGCGTTTAACCAAATCAACTTGATCTTGTAAAGATATTTTGTCCGTGCTTGTCCGTGTGCCTTGTACATGCAGCGAGTATTAATAACACCCCAATGTCGGAGTGGTCATGATTCACAACCAATCAAACTGTGTTGAGCCACCTTAAGCCGACTTGCAAAGCCGTAGCAGGTGTAAGCAAAGGCAACATCCGCCCGGAAGTGAGCCTTTTTCTATTTTCAATTTCCTTGACGTTACCACATTTGTATTGCTAAGTGTCTTTACCCTTATAGAGACGATTTGCCCAAAAACTTGTTTAAAATCACGGCTCAAGGGTGCAAAAAAGCTCACTTCCGGTTGACGTGCATCACTCAAAAACGTCACTGCTTTATAAACTATAGCCTGAGAAAACAGCCGACATTTGGCGACGCTACCACTGGTTTCCCGCCAAATGACGTCTGAGAAACGAGGGCAGAAGTTCCATACTGATGACGCGTCACTACCTAGATCTGGGTAGTTCTTCTGATTGGTTGAATCAAATTTCCCACGCGGCAAGACCAATCAGAAGCACTGCCCAGATCTGGGTAGTGACGCGTCATCAGTATGGAATTTCTGTGCTCGTTTCTCAGACGTCATTTTGCGGGAAAACCAGTGGTAGCGTCAAGCGTTGCAAACTGTAGGCTGTTTTCTCAGGCTACTTAAACTCCCTTTTAAGATAAACTTGACACACCTACACACGCCCTCTTTAATTACTTTGGTGGATTACTAACAAAAAAAGCTTCTGCGCATAGTAGGTCTACGTTGTAGTAATTGTTTAGTATGCTTGCAAGGTGGACAATTGACGTTGTCATAAAGAGCCCGGCGTCACATTCATCCGCCCTCTTTTGTTTTCCAATACACCAATATTCACCGTAGTGCTGTCCTTAGGAGTGAAGCATACTTTTCACAGTCCCTCCCTTTTTTGCCGAAAGGTGTAAGTACGGCATGTCAGTGCTTATTTTTTTCACTGAACCGAGTTGTTCGATAAAGCTGACAAAGCAGTCCCTTGTCTTTCACGAACCCAAGAAGAATCTGGCGGATAAGCACAATTATAATTGCCTTTCCTTCCACAAGAAGTTAAAGTTTTGAACGCCTCACGAAATGGCAAATACCGTAAGGCGTAAACGATCGGGTTACAGAACGAGTTGGCAAAAGCAATCCACATAGTTATTAACATAACACTCGATGGCACTTTACCAGGTCCAGCAATCTTTCTGTAAGTACCCGCAGTGTAGAAAGGTGTATAACAACAGAGAAACAGCCCAACAACAAGGGCAAAAGTTTGCGCAGACTTGATTTCTCTTTTCATAGAATGTGTTTCCGGTGATTTTTCCTGTTGTGTTTCATCTTCGTCGCAAATGTCTGCCAAGGACTCTCTTAGCCTTCGCTCTTCTCGACTCAACTGTCTCGCTTGCCTGAAAGCTGTTCTAAAAACAACGATGTTGGAGAAGAAAATTATTGCGAAGGGTATGATTACAAATACTGAGACGAGAAAAAAGATATACGGCGAAGATGGCTTGTTGCTTATTAACTCTCGATCAGCGCATCCCTGAGCGCATCCATAGGTATCTGCCCTGAATTCAAAATCTGCTAGTGGGATGTTCGTCAAAACGGCTACAGACAGCCAAATCAGCACTAAAATGTTTCTGACCCTCTTTTTAGTGATAATGAATTGATAACGAAATGGCTTTTGAATAGCGATGTAGCGATCCACGCTTAGGAAACACAAATGAAGAATTGAAATGAAGGAGAGCGAGAGACCAATTGAAGCAATGGCTTGACAACCCCATTCTCCAAAGATCCACTTCCTAGTCACTGTCGTTACTGCATTTAAAACCATAATAATAACCATGCTTAGGTCTGTGAACGCTAAGCTTAGCAGAATGAAGTTCGTGTTTGTCCGAAGATGGCGGAATTTGATAACAGAAATGCAAACCAGTGAGTTGCCTATCGCTGTTGTTAAAATGATACAAATAAATATCACCATTTCAATGACAATTCTAGCTGTTCCTGACATCGTGGACGCACATGATTCATCATCAGCCATACTATCTTAGCGTCAAAATCGTCGGGTAGAACAAGAAGCTGAAGAAGATTTTAATGTTGTGTGGTGTGATGTTTCTCGTGGCTACCGTCATTTGATATAAGGATACTTAGCTATGCGTAATTAAGGGTGCTGGCAGATAATCGGATGAAAGACTGTAACAGTTTACAAAAAAGGATAACTTTGTGACACCGAATAGTTTTGAAACTGTGCATAACAAAAAGAATCTCTAAAGACAGGCGAAAATTATAACTCTGGCATGGACTGTATGCTTACTTTTCAAGGTGTTAGAGTCAGATTATTACACCCAGTGTCGAACGATTCATTGTCGAGAACAAACAATATTGTAAATGAAATTGAAGAAAAAAAATGGCGTTTTACGCCAAGTGTTTCCGACAAGACTTCTTTTTATATCGTTTTGTTTTTAATGGTCACATCACAAACTCAAACCGATATTTATTAACTGAACCCATAAATAGATAGCTCTGTGAACGAAGGAAGAATAATCAAATCATGGTTCATCGGAGACTCATTTCAGCGACTTCATTTACACACATGATGTAGACAGTCTGCCAGATCAATTAGAGACAAGCAAAAAGAGATAAATGATTTTTTTACGTCGCAGATGTCTGCAGAACGTAAATATAGGAATATTGTAGGACCTTTGCTTTATCGTCATCTTTATTCACACCTAAAAATTCACAGAGGAGTGTTTCCTCAGGCTCGAAACATCGACAGCTAAGATGGAAAAAACCGGTCATAACAGAGTTTCATAAAATTCGAGGCTTTTGACGTTTACTGAGGAAAAAATCCACAAGATTTTTCCGCATAAGGAACGGCTCTCTCCCTTTTTCGCTTCCATCTTTTCCCTTTTCCCCCAGAAACGCCTGATACTCAGGCTATGTTCGAGAACGTCTAGCGGTCAACAAAAGTCTATTTTATTATCTCATTCCAAACGTCTTCTGTCAATGAAGATATTATTTATCACATAAATCGCCATGCAATGTCAGCAGAGACGTCAAATAGAATTACAAGCCATCATAAACCAGGAACCGTGGCCTATAAAAACCTGGGTCACATAATCCCATTTGTTATCTCATTTAACTTACAGTACCCTATCTAATTTGTCCACTCAATTTACTAGCATTATAATTTCGTATATGAACAAAGTTTTTAACAACTTTCAAACGGTAATGTACCGTCCGCTAAATCAACCGAAAACATTTAATCGCCCTTCTAACCCATCTCAGCCCATAGAGTAAACTCTGACGCAAACAGCTTACATCAAATCTGGGGCGATAAAATGCTTGAATTGCAGGTTGATGACAGTTTTAGTGTGGGTGGGTAATCTTGCAGAGGTTTCATCGATACATAACGTCAGTGTCGGTCGCATTTCGTCGGCCTTGTTTCGTGACGCATCGAATTCCATGGATATGACGTGTACAAGATGCTCAATTATAGACATTCTCTTATTTAAAATCACTACACCGCACCATCTGGATAAATATTTCATTTACGTAGCTTTGAGCTGTTTGCCAAGATATTCCCTAAAAGGCAAGCAATTAATCATACCATCAATGTATGTAAATCTGAAATACTAAATGTCAAAAACTTTCTCGTCTGAGTCTAGCCCTGCAGCGCCAACGTAACCTGCGATCAGGCGTTCTTTTCTTTTTTTTTCGGGGAAACGCGAAATTCGATGGACAGACAAGGAGAAAAAATGGAAGAAGGGACGCCTGATCGCAGATTAGCGCTAACGCAGAGGCCATAGGTTCGAATGCCCTTGAAGCTCCCCATTTTTTTCCGGTTAATTTGCAGTATGTTGCTTTCAACTGCGATGAACTTATCTTCACTGAATTAAATTACTTTTGTATGCTATTATCGAGAACTGGCACTTTTTGAATCGCCTTCCTTGCGGTCCTTGGAAGTGATTGCGGCTTTTTCCGCTCGTGCAAACACTTGTTCGCCTTGGACAGCCGTGTTTCCAGTTTTCCGCCCTGCTTGACGTCGAGCAACAAGTTTCCCGCACTTCTTCACAAAGATTACAATCCACGATGCTACGATTGGTTTCAGTTGTAGTTTTCGTTGTTTTTCTATGATTGTTTGGTTGAATTATCATGTTACTTTCTAAATCTAAATCTAAATATCGTTATGTCGGCAAAATCGTTTGGGACATCACGCCAACTTTTGCAGAAACGATATAACAAGTGGTGTTACTTTATCTCAAAACGGTAGAAAATATCCTGTTAACCCTTACCAGTTGTGAACCATGAGTTTCTGCACAGCCAGGAGAGCTTCTTTACGAACACTAGGATCGTTATGGGACATCATTTTCATCACCTTGACTTTACAACCAAGATTCTCAAGCACACTTAGAATTAAAGAACACACACATTCAGACTGAAAACACAAATCATTTGTAGAAAATTCGCTAGATAGGAAGAAGCTAAACAACACTGAACAAGAAAACAACATACTGTTTTCCTCGAGGGTGATGCCGCACATATTCACCAGTATCATGAGCCGCTACTGCCAAAATGGTTGGATCAGCGGACGTCTCCAGTAACCTTGTCAGCATCCTAGAGAATTACCAGCAAACCAATTAGAATCTGCTTCATTACGCAATCATTACAAGCGTAGAAAAACGAAGGAAACTAAGGAGATCAGGGTGACACTGCTACGAACAAGAACAATGGTATCCGGGAATTTCAAAAAGCAGCTAAACTTAGAAAGTTACCACAAAAAAATGTCAAGGGAATTCGCGTACAAAACGCGAGCAATGCTCAAATTTGTGGTTTGCAGCGGGCGGGCGTCCCGACGGCAATGTTGGTTGACAAGAACGAATTCTGCATGGCCCCTTGTCACATGGTTGCAAACCAAGAATTTGGGTGCCGTTTTCAACTTCGAAGTAATCTTAGGCAGGCTACGCCCGAGAACCGAATCTTTAATGAAGGAATGGGGAGAGAGATTTCACTACGTCTGTACTGCTACACTTGCTTCAAGACGTTTATTGACTTTATTGATGTCCATCGAACTTACAAACAAAATTAAATTAAATTCAAGCATATACAGGGTGTTTCAATAGTTCGCTCCGATTGTAAATTGTATTTTGCGCAAAGCATTTAATGCTTCTTTAGGCAAATGTAAACTGATACAGGTAAGAAATTTATCTAAATAACCGTTCAAAGCAATTTCAGACCAAAATTTGACGAAATTATAATATTTCTGAAGTTTTGCCCCAAATGTGCACGTACGCGAGTTTTTTCCCGCCATATTTTTCCTGCCCATTTCGTAGGTTTTCCCTTTTCGTCTTTTTTCCGTTTTCTTCAATTGTCTCCACTGTGTCACGAAAATAAAGAACTACACTGTTTGTGCTAAAGCTGAAGCATCTATTTTCTTGGTCCACTGGCCATTCAGTCAAAGAAATTGTTAAACTGTTCACTAAAGTCTGAATGATATAGGTGAACAAGTGGTCGAAAGTAAAGACTTTAGAAGACAAACCAAGGAGTGTATGGCCGTCTTTTTTTAAGGTGGCTCGACTGGATTTTTTTAGGGGGATACCTCCCAAGTTTCAGCCTTAACTACGTCGGCATGAGTAAAGATATGGAAAAAAGGTTACCACAACTGTATTATATAAAGATGAAAATTTCTTATGATCTGGGTTTTATTGCAATCGGAGTCGCCATTGCAACGTAATGACGCCATTACGTTTTTCATTTATCTTTGTGTTTCTCTGTACCAGGAGTTTTTTGAAGAAATCACTTAAGGGAGTATGTACCTGCCATAATTTCCTCCATTATGGCAAAGATTGAAGAAATTCTATGAGAGCGTTTTCGAAATATTTCGAAATGCAGTTTTAAGAATCATAAAAACAGTGAAATAGCATGCTAGCCGCACAATTCGCTAATATTTTAAGAAAATGATAAGCTTTGGGAACGCGGCTTCATCTCATAGTGGATTGATTCCATTGAAAACTGCATACAAAAAAAGAGGGGAATTGCTCTGAGCGATCGCGAGCAAGAAGGATTTTATTAACTTGCATTCAGATGCTTTTGATACAGTTTTTGGAGGTAATTTGTTCCATGCTAAAAATTTCGCATTTTTCCAAAAACCGCTCGATAAATTTTTTTAGAAATTCGACAATTCCGAGATCAATCGTCAAGAAATCTTCCCTGCAAGTTTTAAGAACATTGAAAACAGCGAAGGCTTTTAAATAGGGCCTCAAATATAGCCAATTTTTCCCCCAAATTTTGTGTTCACAAGCGAGCGTCCTCATTATTCACTGGCATTGTTTTCAAGTTTCATATACACGTGCACATTTAGCAAAAAGATAGAATTTGCATCAAAAAGGACCCTCGGTTAAATCTCCGGGATATGCTAATTAACGGGTAAAGCGGTTAGTGATACATTACAACATTAGAGCAACTCTTTGTGAGAGTTTCTGTGATGTTATAACCCGGGTAAGATAACTTAGTATCGCATCCTACACGTTGAGCCGTGACGTTCACCGTTTCGGTTCTCACTGCTATCTGTGACGACAAGCCAATTTTTAGCATATACCGGATATTTCTTCGGAAAGTAATCGAGAGTTCTTGCGATTTAATGCAAAATATGGGTAGCACTTTTTAAAATATCTATGAACTTACTTCAATAATTCGTAATTCTTCTCATTAAGGCGTTGCGCATTCTCCCTCTACAAACACAAAAAATTGGAGTTGGTTTGTCCCGGGATAAAATGAAATCCAAGGAAATCAATAAAAATTCTCAACAAACAAGTTTATCTACAGAAGTTACCCAGAATTTCTCGGACTTGTGCACAGGACTCCACTCCAGTCTCCCTGACCTCACCTCGGCTGCATATTCATCAAAGGTACTTGCATGGATAAATAAAATAACGAATACAATTGGTTGTGGAATTATAGCAAAGAGTGCTGAATTAAGTTACTTGCATTAAAAAAACTATGCATTACTAGCTGGATTAAAGCAAACAGTCAAACCAAGTTGATTGCGAACCTGGAAAATTATTCACCAGATGCCAGCAAAAAGTTCAGGCTTATTTTCACCCAAACTATGTATGTGCTTTCAAATAATAAACAAGTTACCCGCATGCATGATAACATAAATTGAAATTCGAAATGGTGTGTCAAGAACACCTCTGACTACTCATTTTCGGGTCCAGTGTGCTACAGCTCTAGAAAACGTAAGCGACCTTTGTTTTTTGTCAGATAACAGACCTTTCCGATGCAGAGGGGAGGGCAGGATTTTCATTGGGGATCTAACCCAGCATCTTCCTGGGATATGAAGCGAGCTCACCTTCCCTCCTCCCACCTAACCTCAGCTGTTGAAAATTTGGAATCAGAATTTCCAGGATTTTCTGGACATTTTCATTAAAAGCGAATTTTATCGCGAAGGCACGTTTTTTTTTACAACGTATCAACTCTTTTCTTAACAAAAGGGAGATCACGGGCATCTTACCCCCTCCCCCCACACCATCACCACTTTCGCCCAAGCGGCGACCTCGAACAACACGATTGGTGAAGATCAAGCCTTAAGCTCATCTTACCTCAGATCTTGAACACGCTCATTTAACTTTTCATACACTACTTCAACATCATCCTGAAACAAGAACGACAGCTCAAAGTTGTGTTCATTTGTGGCTCACTACCAGAAATTTCTTTAGATATATATCTTCGCGTAATTCTCACTTATTGGCCTCCCAGCTGAAGTGATTCATGGGATAAAGGAATTATAGTGGAAGCTACACTCAAAACTCAAAGGGGCTTTGTCACGCTGATTGCTAAAACTTGTCTTTGCATCGATTGAATTTCAAAAACAATGGTCCAGTTTTGTTATTTAAGATTATATTTACGCATTGAAACTGTTTCCCGTCATCTGTTGCGACGGATGGTAAGGATGGACATGGATTGAAACATGAAAAAGTTGGGCCAACTTTTCCAAGTTTTGATGCTATGCCCGCAAAAAACACCAAAAAATTGTTTGATATCTACTTCATATCTCAAACGGAGCATTTTTTTGTGTGGGTAAAGGCACTAAGTGATGACTTTGGCACAGAATTGACTTAAAACAGCAATATCCTCGTGACATAGCTCCTTTAACCCTTTAAAGGGAACCTCCACTTCAACAAAAAGATAACTTTAAATCACAGGAAATAACTGTTACAGTCAAGTCAATCTAAAATATTTTTAAAGAAAGCGTTTGTATCCGAAAGAAATAACTTTTAGATTCGCCTATTTTTGTTTTCAAATTTTGCGGGCGTCGCCATCTTGAATAATTGTGACGTGTTATGGTTGCCCTATTGTTATTAAACAAAAGCTCTTTGTGTCAGAGCAATAGAGCAACCGTAACACGTCTCAATTATTCAAGATGGCGGCGCCCGCGAAATGTGAAAGTGAAAATAAGCGATTTTAAAATTCACTTTTCCTGATATAAACACTTTTTTAAGGACAAATTTCGAACAAATTTTTTTATCAACATAATTTTATTCGATTTAAACTTATTCTGTAGTAAGAGTGGAGGTTCCCTTTAAGTCCCAGTAGTGACTGCACCAACATCAATTTTCTCCTAACGATATCCAGAGATTGTCAAGAGCAAAGTCTATGAGAATTAATAAAATGGTCACAAAGAGAAAAATCTTTGATCTTTTATCAAATTCTCCCGACTAATTCTTTTAAATGAAATGTATGGAGATCAGTCTGCAGAATTTGTACATGGGTCTTGGGGCTTAACCGGTTAACAATATGGACACCTATCACGGATGCGTACACTAATAAAAGCTCCTGTTTAGATTTTTTTACTTACTTCATCACTATGGAATTTTTGAGACAAAAAACTGGGCTAATTACGGACAATTCACTCGGTGACGAGGATGCCAAACTTCACTCATAAAATCCCTTCCTCTATAATACGGACACTTCTGTAATGAAGACACTTGGATTTGTTTCTTTGAAGTCTTTATAGACTGGAGGTTTGGCTGTACACTGGAACTTGACAGTTTTCTTGGTCCCAAGAATGTCATCATTCATATATTCCTAGCTCTAATATATACGGACACCTCTGTATTTCCGGGACAGCTAGGTCCTGCCCCTCTGAAGTTCGCATATGAGGCTAGACTAGATTCATGGTACTAGAAAATTTAGGTTTCTGGGAAACTGCCCACCTACCCCTCCCGTAAGTCATCATTTTGCCCTAAGTGAGAAGTAAGTGTTAATGTTAGCTTAGGGGAGGGGTTGCTGGGCAGTTTACCCAGAAACCTAAATTGATGCGAAAAGTTATTTACGTACCCTGATATCTTCATCAGCCCAAGTTTTACTATACAAAACTGACAGAACCTGTAAAAGAAAGATGTGGTGTCGCGTGTTCCATCAGCAAAAGAGTTTGACTTAAACTCCCAAGGGACTTAGATAAGTTCTCATACGTCTCACAGGCTCGTGCTTGTTAGGAGCATGCGCTGTTTGACCGTAAGCAGCCCCACAAACACAACCTCGTTTCCAGGGTTCCCAGAACATTTGTTTCCCCTACTTAGCGGGGCTTGGTGCTGACCAAACGGATCGCAGTCTCAAAGAAAATCCTTTGTAAACACATTAAATGGGTTACAAAAAGTTCCAATTTGCATTAATCCACCAGCGGCTCCAGCAGTCTTACAAGAGACTGATGCCATTAAAATATTAATGCACAAAGTTTTTTCAGTGCATATACTAGAGTGCCATTTAAGTACACGATGTTACCCGTCTTTAACCTTTGGCAGATTTCTCCTCGTTACTAAGAATATAAGTTCTGTACATCACAGGAACGCACGGTCTGAAAAACTGATGCCTCCTACAACTAATTAGTCTCCTTCGCAGTTGCTAAGGCCGGGCACCGGGGAGCATTGCGTGACAGCGGCCCGAGCGGTTGCGAAAGATACTACTGACAACCGATGTATTTCACCAGGCTTTTGACGATAGTCAGCAAAGGAGATAACCAGCCAGTTTTCTGCGATACTTAAAGCTATTGTCACCCATGAATTCTTGTATTTTTACGCTATTTTTATAAGTATTACATATAGGCTCAGAAAAACGAGGTTGTTGTTGCCAATTTGTCTTTTCCTTGTACAGGTCGATAAGAAAAAATGAAGGAGTTTACTCACAGGAAGCAGTTTGCATTGAATCATGGACAGGGATGCTTCATTCTTCTTCTCCTCTGGTTTTTCCAACAAATTCTGAAATAGAAACACTTTTTTACAGCCCTTTCCACGTTACTATGTTTTAGAAAACCTTCGTTCTCTATTAATAATAATAACAATAGTAATAACAATAATAATTATGATAAAAGCGTATCCAATCCACTAACGACGATTTTCACACAGTTTTCGTCTGACCACACTACGCCATGCAAAAACACTTATCTCAGGATACGGACGAGAGGATTTAATTATCTACTTCCCCCATTGAGGACAAAAATGATAGTCCTCTATCTTCAAAAGACTTTACCCTCAAGAGCCGTGTTTTAGAAAACTTTCCGCTTTCATAAACCTCCGTTTTTTATCATGTCAGTGTTAGATACTACAGGGAGATTTAGGGGTAATGCTTGAGCTTAATTTCATTTTTTTCGCGTAGCACGTCTTCTAATGGCGCTTATAGTCGATGCCTGGGTAGGAACGATTGTCACCCAAAGGGCACATCTTCGGAAACCGAAGCGTTTCCGAATATGGTACGTAAAGCCTAAGCTAATTTTTGCATCTTCCGAGGCCTCAGATTAGAGGAGTTTTATCAAGTTTAAAACACGAGGCGTAGTTTGATAAAGCAAGAGCTGTTTAGAGAATGGTTTTAGAGTTTTTGCTGGAGACCCGTTCGTTCTTGCAATTACATATTGGCCATGACATTCGCATGTATCAGGTACGTGTTTAAGACAGTGATAAAACACTTAAGGGCGAGTATCCTGGTTGTTGGCCTTGAAACTCTAAAAATGTTTCTTACCCTTAATGTGGCAATGATGATCCGTGTGACTTTTTCTTTGCCTGATTCCCTTAAAATGTCGGCCAGAACACGAATCACAGCATTACCCCTATTAATACAGAAACATTGTCATTCAGTGTTCATTTGATATCAGACAATTATGGAGACATTGTCCTGAATCTCCAGGATAAATCCCTGTAATGGCCAGGGGACCATTAAAATGAAAAATTTGGAAAGAAATGATATTGTAAGTAAAATTACAACGTCTGTTGGAGAAGACAAACGTAATACTTTACTTCTATCAACTGAATTGATTGAACATGATAGTGAATATGATCCTAAGCCAATCATGTGGTTGAAAAAGAACCTGAAAAAATTCAGGCTTGACGGCGAGTCGAACCCTCACCTTTAAAACAACTGGACGCAACGCTCTACCCATTGAACTATGCGAAGCATGTTCGCATGCTCGCATGCGAGCAACTAGTAACTATTGAAGCATGCGAGCAAGCTCTCCATTTATAGCGAGCGAAAGGAGTGTCACGAGAGAACGCCACTCGAACTAGCGTCTTCTTTCCCGTGCAGTTCTCGTGTACTTCTCGCGACTCTCCGAAACGGAGAGGGTGAAAATAAAACTACTACAGTGAAATACTATTCACTGCAGGTGAAGAAAAAGAAGACAGAAAACGAAAATTGTCACAGTTTGGCATCTTACACTTGAGTTGATGGCATAAATTGGCCACCCGAGAGACACTGAGAAGCTACATGTAACGTTTCCATCGCAATCCCTTTGTTGGAACGAATGAAGGCATTGTGGGTTGTGTGTGGTTTATATAATGTGTAATGGAGCATCGCTGTTGGTGTGAACAAGATAACATCAAAACCAAGAATAAACCACTTTAAAGAAACTGTGGGTATTACGATTGCTGAGTTAAAAGATAAATTTTTGTCCTGCATTATTACTGTTGATGTAGGGAGAACGTTTTATTACATGAAAAATGAGAGCTGGAAGACTTTTCGGCTTGTTTGTTTTTGTTTTTTGTAGGCACTTTAGGGTGTCAAAGGTTGTGAATGGTTTGGAGTGCAAGCCTGTAACCATTTTTTTTTTATAAAATCCTAGAGGCAAATAGTTACAATGTTTTAAAGTTTTCAGGGTCAGGGGCGGATCCAGGATTTTTTAATGGGGAGTGGCTGATACCAATCCGCCACCAAACTATACGTTAATTTATTTTAAGTTGTCCTACGTTTGTCCCAAAACATGGCGATTTAGAAGGAGCAAAGGCTTGGTTGGCTTCAAAGGTTTTTTGAACCCACGTATTTCTATATTTTTTGGGACTAAGGTATTTCTGTTTGTTTTATCCACGTACTGTATTCTTTTGGTGGATGTTTCTAAAGGGCGGTGGCTAGTCAACCAATCCACTCCGCCTGGATCCGCCCCTGAGGGTACACATGACAGGTCATGTAAAATGCCAAACCCTGACTGGTATTGCTGGTAAATTCAATCATTTACATATAGATGGACTCATTTACCCTATCATTCTCTCAGAAATCCTTGGATCAAAGGACAACAGCCAAAGCACAAAAATAAGTTGATATTGAAGCTGGAAACCAACGTTTGGTGCCAGAAGCGCAGACACAACACTAAAAAAACAAAAGAGAACAATCATGAGTTCTGATCTACTAATTAGTCACAACGAGCAGAAAAAGGGAAATTGTAAAAAAGGCGATTGTAAGGTATACTGAGGAGAATAATATTTCAGCTGTATAACAACAATATATATTTCAAAAGTAGGTTGAGTTTCATCGTCCGGGTGAACGTAGTCCTGAATAGGACTGTTGCTGTTGACAGTGACTGACCATTTGACAACTTGTGTGGTAGTCATCTTCACAATATATATATGTCCTTCTAAGTTTCACCAAAAACAGATAATTATCTGTTAAATAAACACACCTTTGAACACCATCCAGTTTGAAGAAAGCTTCTCTGTAGGAGTGAAGCCGCAGCATTAGTTGAAGGCACTGTGCCACACTGTGCTGGTAATCATTCTTCTTAAACAAAATAAGAAAATAGAATAAAAATAATAAATTGATTCACTTCTTCACTGGTAACTAGTCTGTATTGTGTAGTTCCAGAATATATCTGTTACAAGTCAAAGTTAAATTCAGGTTAATAATTTTTAACCTACAATCGGCGACAAAATGAGTTGAGACACTTCGCCCAAAAGTAGGCTTTTTTACGTTTTATGAACTTCAAAAGGAGGAAATATAGCTTTCCTCCCCCATCCCCTCCGTACAATGTTGGGCCCTTGTTCTAGCTACCTATAGAAAACAACAAACACCCCAACTTTGAATGGAGGGGACAGGGGAGGGGTGCGGATTCTTTTGTTCTCCAAAGTTGCCCTATTTATGTACAATGTCTCAACAATTTTGTCGCCGATTGTCTGAATCTCAAAAGTGGCCGTACGTCCTTTAGAAAGTTAATTGAATTCATTTTTTTATGCTGGGATGTAAGACCCCTGGTGGCTTTTTATTTGTTATGTTTGACTTCATCATACCTATTTTCGAACAATTAGAATAAGGCGATTTCCTTATTTTCAGTGCGTGACATTTCGTGTCACGCTTAACCGTGCCTTGACATCGTGCGATGTGGCGCGTCGGGCACGATTTCTTATTCTCTCCTTTATCGAAACGCATCGAAACAAAGAACAAAGTGAAAAGGATAGAAAACTAAAGGCATTAAAGTAGTTATGATGGCTAAAATTGCTCTTTAGGAGGAATTTCCACGAGTAACCACGAGTAACCACGATGAGTAAAAAAACAAAATAATCTAATTATCTTTTAAGAACAAAGTTGGTTACTCGTGGTTACTCGTGGCCAGTCTCCTCCTGACCTCATAGTTTCTACTGTAAAGTACATTCTTCAAAGACCCTCATGGGTATATGGGCAACGAATTTGCTGCACAGATTTAGCGATGCTATGCAGCTTTGCTGTGCATTAGAAGTTGGAACATTTTTCCTGAAAATTCTCCTGCGCATAGCAATCATGGCTATTTTATCGTCCATCCCACCCTTATCAAATAGCCAAACTTCGAATAAACACTTTGAACTTACTAGAGATATATTCAAATACAATATATTATCTGCCATTGATTCCTACCGATCACACTTAGTTAAACCAGAGGAAAATCAATCATTCGGTACGTGGGTATGCTACGTAATTACTTGAAATCACTAACAAGTACAAAGATTGTCAAAACTAATTTTCCCTCGAAAAACACAGGAAAGGGATTATATGGGTATCTTATCTATCTTCTGAAAAACGACCCGGTGAATATAGTAATCTCAACTAGTTACCATCTCCTAACCGGTGCTAATAGGACAACAGCGCGTAGATTTCGATTCAGACAATCGGCGACAAAATGAGTTGAGACACTTCGCCCAAAAGTAGGCTTTTTTACGTTTTATGAACTTCAAAAGGAGGAAATATAGCTTTCCTCCCCCATCCCCTCCGTACAATGTTGGGCCCTTGTTCTAGCTACCTATAGAAAACAACAAACACCCCAACTTTGAATGGAGGGGACAGGGGAGGGGTGCGGATTCTTTTGTTCTCCGAAGTCGCCCTATTTATGTACAATGTCTCAACAATTTTGTCGCCGATTGTAGGTTGATTCTCTATTTCCCTTGTCTCCCAGCCGTAAAAATTATTCATGAATCAGGGCTAGGAGACAAACGAAATTGAGAATCAACCTAACCTGAATATTCATTTTGACCTGTAACATATCCATTCACCACAGAAGGGACTGGAAATTCCTGTAAAGGAAATTATTTAAGCATTGTAAAAGCAAAATTGAAGCTTCCACGTACAATGGGTGGGGTGGGGGTCAGAAAAAACCCTGAGGGGATCAAAGGATATTTTCTGGAGAAACACATTGTTAAACCTAACCAAATTTCATCTGTGCTAAAAAATGAAATAGTTGTCAAATGATGAATAAACACATGATATACATCAATGGAATACTTACAGGATTTGCCAGGCTTCCTTTCACCCAAGACAAAAAGTAGTTCAGATCATTGTCAGGTAAAGAATCTTTTCCCCAAGATGCCAACTTTGCTACAATGATGGCAGTCTGTAATTAATAATTTACAAAATTACTTTCATTGTGAATAAAATTTGGTCACACCACCAGGGTAGGATTGTTCTACAGTGGAAATCCACATTTTCACTATACAGTGGTCAGTGTCAAGACAAAAACTGAATTACAAGTGGTTGAAATTGAGTGTAATATGATCCCCTAAACATCTAAAAACTTTTATCTTCTATATCTGCTATGTACTCTTAGACCTGTGATTGCACTGCCACTAAAGGTAAACATAGCCAGTGTTTCTCTTAGCATCTCCAACATCACATTTAAGTGTTAAACTCATCAACAACCATAATTATTATGAATAACTAAAGGTTGGACCAGTTCCCTGTAGGATGGTGGAGCCATGTGCATACAAGCCAAGTGATAAGTATCCATAGTAATTACAGTCAGAGATCTATCAATTTAGATTTCTGGAAAACTGCCCACCTAACCCGCCCCTAAGCTAACAATAACACTAACTTACTTCTCACTTTATGTTGGCTTTGGGGAGGGGTACATGTAGGTGGGGACTTTCCCAGAAACCTAAACTGATCCAGTTGGTACCATCAGCACTCACAATAAACAGCGAGAGATCAGTAAAGACTAATTACTGTAACTCAAGAGATCAAGGGAGGAATGGGGAGGAAGGCAGCAACAAAAGCATAGTGTAGTGGTTGTGACACATGAATTGCACTATGAATCCTGGAAACACGATCACATTTGTCCCTGTCTTGAGGTTATGTCGAGTACATTTTTAGTTTGGAACAATGAGATGCTGTCTTTTGCTGTCGGGTAAAGGTGGCTGTCATGTAGAAGTTTCAATTATGGACAACAATGATTTCATACACTGTACTTCTGTTTGTGAATAGGGTTGCCATTAGAAGGGCTGTGTGGGACACTACATTAGTGAAGGTTTCAGTGTCCACAATAGGAATAATTCTTGTCATTATTAATTACCTGATGTACAATGAACTGATCCTGTCTGTTCAGAAGTTTAAGGAGAGCAGCCCAGACACTGATGTTATTCCTGATGGGGAAAAATTGTTATTTATAAATTATTTAAAAAAAAAACACAGAATTTTTAACATATATATTTTAAATTCTGGTTTTATATGAAGATGAATACTTATTACATGTATCCTTGTGTTAGAAAAGTGTTAATTTAAGAGAGTTCTAATATTTACCTTTTACCAAATTCATGGAAGATTGAAACTCTGCTTTTCTCCTCCTAGGAAAGAAAATGGCCTTTTAGTATCTATTGATTGCATGAGTTCTAGTCTATTATCTACAAAACAAATAAGTGAGGACTCCTCTCCTTTTCATCACACTTTTTTCACATACTCACCGTCAACACATCATCAATCAAGACAAGGATATATCTGATTGTTTGATCCCGTGAAAGCCGAGCCAACAGTGACAAACAGCTCTTTGCAAACTGAAGCAGAAATAAACAATAATTTTGTTATGATTCAAATTAGTGCTTTAGAATTATATTTACCTTAACTCTGGTTCTTTGCTATACAAGGTATGTTTCACTCTTCTATGGACAAAAATCCAGTATGACTATTAATTAAGTTAATTGGATAGGAACTACAGGGTGCGCCAAAAATTTTCTTATTGACTTGTCCTTCGGACAAGCACTATATTAAATCTGGTTGTCCGCAACCCAAGGGTTCTTGTCCAAAAAGTTTTGCTCAAAACTCAGAAACAATCGGGCATATATTTACCACATAATCAGCCTTTTTGCAGGTAAGTTAACAGGCCTGGTTACTAAGGCCAGGTTCCTAAGCCAAATGGAGCTCGTAAAAAAACAAATGATTGAAACGGCTGTGGAATGGCAAAGTTTTAAAGGAATATTTAACCTTATTTTGACAAGCATGAGGTTTGCTTTTATGACTATAAGATATTTTAATCCTACTGTAATTTGAAGTCAACTTTCATCTGCTTCTGTATTTTTTCTAATAAAAAATGTGCTTGTCCCATGGTTAAGTTATGTCAAAGGTTTACTTGTCCGAACTGTATTTCTACCTGTCCCGGACAATCGGACATAGGTTTTGGCACACCCTGAACTACCAAGTGACAGTTTCCAGTGGTACATGCGCAACAAAGGGTAATTTATAACAAAAAGTCCACGGATGAATTTAAATAAAAGTTACTGAGTAGTACTCTCCTGTAGCGTTATTCTTATTATGCCTCAAATAGCTGATGAAGTCTCCATCAGCAACCATGCCCATATATTCTTTATGTCATGGTCTAAATTTTTTCATTGGACAATAATATTAAGTTGTGAATTTTTGAACCAGTTGTATTTTTTCTTTGTCTACCAAAATCTGGGGGAAAGGAGCACAAATTAAAAAACTGGTTTGAACCATGATGTAACATTGATTACAATATTTTCCTTCTGACAGTGAAATAATAATTTTTGTAATAATCTTATAAAATAATAATGATTTGAGTGAATTACCTGATCTCCCTTCTGTTCCAGAATTTTACCCCTTTCGTCTTTTCCCATGCAGTCATAATCTGCTATCATGGTGTAATCTTCCTGGTTGATCATCTGACTTCTGATCATTATGATAAGAAAAAAACAGCCGTGCTAGTTACCATTACTTTCAATAACTTTCAATAGCAAGCAGTCAGGGCAGGGTTTGAACCTGTGGCTGGATTACAAGTTTAGTGTTCTAACTGCTCGGTCATACTGTCACTGAACATACATCATTATTACTGGAGAATTACTGACATTTTCCCTCTGAATTAAAAGCTCTCTTTGGGACTCAAAAATTGACGTGCAGGTAGAACTGTCTGGTCACAAGAAAAGTACAACACATAGCAGTAGAGAGTATTTGCTGGGGAATAGATATGGTATAATGGGTAGAGGTACATCCAAAAGAGAGACCTCGAAAACAAGGATAACACAAAACAAGGAGGGTTGAATATCAGAAACAAATTACCAAAAAGTTTGAAAGCTAAGTCTTGAATTTCTTCAAGAGTCATTTGATTTTAAACACTGGATAACATGCTTCGTCAAATTTCTGACACCACTGACATGACTACAATCGGCGACAAAATGAGTTGAGACACTTCGCCCAAAACTGGGCTTTTTTACGTTTTATTAACTTCAAAGGGAGGAAATATAGCTTTCCTCCCCCATCCCCTCCGTGCAATGTTGTGCCCTTGTTCTAGCTACCTGTAGAAAACAACAAACAACCCAACTTTGAATGGAGGGGACAGGGGAGGGGTGCGGATTCTTTTGTTCTCCGAAATTACCCTATTTAAGTACTCAACAATTTTGTCGCCGATTGTAGTTTATGTGAAAAAAGCTCACTAGCTGGCCTTTTTTGTAACTAATGTAATTTAGGCGAGGTTAAATAGGAGACAATGCTGGCCAGCTTACTGAACATAAGACATCCAGTTAACAGTCTGTTTTCTGACATCTTCACTCTCCACTGATAACCTTCCGAATGGCATCACAGTAGCTAAAAAGGCAAATAGAGCATGCTTGATATATATATAAAAAAAAAATAGGAGATAATCATGGAAGTGACAGCAGAAACACTAGCATGTGTCACTGTGTCACAAACAGTCTAATCCCTTATAGAAGCCATTGCGCAAAAGGACTAAATCAAATTCTCTTTCTATGTACGTCTCAATCATCAAGAGACAAGTCTGGTTGCAATGCAGCAAACAGGCCTGTTCTTTTCCTCAGTGTTAATTTCTGTAGTGGCCGATAGCCATAAAGGGGAAGCTGTTACCAATCAGAACTATAACAAAATTTGTGATATTTCAAGCTTTATTAAATATAAAACACAAGATATTCAAGCTGAAAATTTAAGAAGTCTTTAAAAATCAAGCTTTTGCGGAACTCAGTGGGTAAAACAGTAAGGACATCTCTGCCTTGAAGCAATGCTCTGACTTCTTGACATTGTTTGGGTCTTAAATCCAAACTTAAGATTTTATGAAAAACTGTGGCCTGCTTTACAGATGTCAACCTCGTTCCCAGTGTTCCCTCCTACCTGTTCCTGCAGAGCAAGAAATGGGGGATGGGTAGGAGACGAACCTGGGAACGAGGTTGTACGGACATGATCATCACCATCCACCATCAAAGTGCACGTAAAAGAACATTACATCATTGTATGATTAAAAATCAGCCAATTAGCTATTCACATCCCATTCTGGGATGCAAATACTCGACTTTATGAGATGCAAGTGCAAGCTCTCCTTCCCCTCTTTCCTGCCCCACCTCCGTACCCCCAGGAGGGCCAATGCTCACAGGCTAGCGCCTGGTTTAGTAGTATTATAATCTATGTTCAACAATACCTGATGATAGACTTGGATCCTCTGGGACCTTATTTGAAGCAACATCTTCAAGGCTTTGGTAAGACGTCATGGTGCAAAACTGGACAGAAACAAAACAATAATTTAATTTGATAAGCTTATTAACAACTACGAATCATCAAATTCAGTACACTTGTTTTAGAATCATCTTCCCAAAGTATTGTACGAGATTTTCTTTCATTATTTTTTTTAATAAAGTGATTGCATTAAAAAATAACACACATCTTTAAATTGCACACTAAGAAGATTCCCTATTATCTTGAATAATTTTGTGGAATCGACACAACCTATAAGCTTAACAGAAATAATTATTGGCCTGTATATGAAGATCTTTTCTTTTGTTTTTAAGGAAATAACAGAATAATGTTTACCTTACACGATTAAATTTCGTCCAAAATTATATAAATGGATTCAAAGGACTTACCTATGAAGTAACGATCAAGAAAATAAAAACAAGAAGACGAAGAACCTTTGCCAAAAATATCCCTTCTCATGTGATCTACCGTGCAAGGACTGGAAATTATATAAGACGGGGAGGCGTGGTTACATCTCGTCAAGCACAAATATGGCGGCCAGTTAGTCGGAATCGAAATATTATTTTGCTGGTATTTATGAAGAAAAATGGAAAAAAACCAATGAATTTTTGAAATGGCGTCAGGTAAGGCCTTTAAATACTAATGCACATAAAATTTTCTGTGTTTGTTATTTACAAACCAAAAATATTACGTTTTTATGAGTGCTTGATCCGAAAGCCTCCTTTCCGGACTACTTGTACGAGCTTGTCATAAATGCATATTTATGGCCGGCCGGAAGTGGATGTCCTTTGGAAATCCTTTAGGTACCTTAGGATTTGGTGGAGAAAGAGCTACCTTTGTAATGGCTTCTGTTAGACTTTTTGGTCTGTTGCTAGATTTGGACGATATTCCACAGTCCCCTTGTAGAGGCCCTGCCAGCCAGTGAGGGGGGTGGAGGGGGACCCATGTCGCCCGTCTGAGTTTTAAAACGTCTCGTGTCGGTGTTTATAAATGCTTGTCGCAGTTATTGTCGGCTTTTGCCGTCACTGTCGCATGCTAAATTGGGATTTGGCCTTAAAAAGGGTATTAACATGGGAGGGAGGTTGTCGCTGGAAGTGGATGCGCTTTTGTCGCAATTTCATTTCTGTGAGACAGAAGCGTTCCATCGCGCTCGTCGTTCTTTTTGGGCCATGTCGCTTGTCAGAATTTACCCTGGCAGGGCCTCAGAGTAACCTTTGGTTGATATTATTATAGAAGAAATCAAAACCACAGACTCTTAAAGTACATATGCAGAGGAAGCCAATGTATACCACCATCTGGTCAGTCTGGCTTTCTTTTCTTTTTGAAAGTTCTCAATGAAAAAATGTCTTTATACTGAGGAATTTTATTCATTCATGGTGCTAAAAATTTTTATTCTGCATGACCAAAAACAGAGAAGCTGTTGTTTTTAATTGACTGCTCATAACTTAATCCATTCAAGAATTTGATGGGAGTAGCAGAAGGATTTACAGATTCAATTTTCAAATAATCAGTTCATTTATAGAGTGCGAGTTAATGTACATGTATAATTGGGGGTAATAATGCTTGACCTGGCTGCTTGACTCTAAAGTAATTGCCAACAAGCAGCCTCGCAAAGACACGAGGCTAAAAGGTGACAGCCTAATAGAGCTGTGTGCAATAGTTCCAGAGGCAGAAAAATCTTGCGTCAATGTAACATTTTATAGTAATGTAAGGCAATATTTATGACACAATGCAGATCAGAGAATCCACGAGCCGTGTGTATGTTTATGAGTCCTTTGCTCATCCTGTCTTCAACCAATCGTCAGCTGGGTATTCATTTAAGTTATAGGCGATAGCTGTTGCAGTGCCACTGCTGGAATTTTTTTTGTTGCCTGTTGCTAAGAAAAAACAACGCGGTAAAATTGATTGTGTCTTCGAAGCAAAATAATTTGGAAGGCTTCATCCACGCACCATAAATCTTCAACTATTTAGCTTTAAAAAGAGACCAAATATAAATCTGTAGATTAAATTCGCGGACTTAAATATGATTTTTTGAGGATTCTAAATTGGCTTATAAGACCACTAAATTTTATACAAAATGACATGTGCACAACTTCGAGCAAAAACACAAACTTCAATATCTCAAAAAATTTGCTATGTAAAGTCGGGATTTCAAATTCTTTATGCAGTAGAACAGTTTAGTTCACTATTTTCAAAAGATAAACTCGGCACATGTCATGGGAGAACTGCCGTGTAGTTCCAAACCAACAGCTCCCACATGTGTTGTGTAGAGCCAGCACTTAAAGGAGTGCATTGCATTTGCCTCAGCAGCAGAGGGCCTTTGAGATATGGGTTTTCCCCATTCATTGAGCCCAGGGTTATGCCATGCTGAAGAGCCCCAATAAGGGAGAAACAGCTGTCCATGGCTGCCCCTACCCTCTTGGTATGGTTATGCACATACCTGACGTACTGGCCGTGCTGTGGGTTGGTGTATATGTGCCCCTTGCTTTAAGTTTGTATTTTTTTTCAGGGTAATTTTCACTTATGCAATCGAATTATTTGATATTAAATTACTGTAATTCAGGACATTTCTAAACAAACTGAACAGTGCGCGCATATAACTAGTAGTATATGATTTGTTTTACAGAGAAAAGGAGTACTAGCCCATCTCCAAGCATACCACCAATCTCCAGGGAACAGGCTTTGATGGAATCTTTCTTCCATGCTCTTAGCCAATTTGCTTTTGACAAAGCTAAAGACCAAGTGGTTAGTCAATTCATATTGATTCAGTATGCTACTGTATCATATAATAATGTATTATAATAGCCACCTTGTATAGCTTAGCTCTGCCGAGTGGGAGCTCATGGTTCCAAACCCACATCTACACTGTCAACCTGTACACTGACCAGGCTTTTTACAGTGCTGGCACTCAAAACCGTGACACTTGGATAAAGAAGATTGTCCAATCTCAACATTAATTTTTCTGAAAACAAAAGATTCTCTTGAGTTTTTTTGCAAGCAGACCAACAAAATTTAAGGTTCAACTATGCAACCAGTGAAAACTTTTTTTATAATAAAACTGTTTGAACCTCAAATTAAATGAATGTTATTTGTAAGGTTGTTGAGAAACTTGAGAATCCTTTTGTTTTCAGAAAACATTGTAATTGGATAATCTTCTTCCAATTGTCCTGGTTTGAGCGTCTTTACCGTAAAAATTTCTGGTATATAGTGCTAAATGATTATGAGTATGATCAATAAATATATATGTATTCGCTTTATACTTTAAGCTCTTAAAAGCGGCATTGATTCTCACACATATGTATAGGCCACACCCTTATATAGGCCTTATCCTAAATGTTGACCATAATTTAATATTACTGGTAATATTAATTAATTTCCTCAAGGTCAGATGATTTCATCATAATATTATAGAGTGTTTTCACTCACGTGGCCAGCATATATGCAAATTTATTGAAACAAAAGAGAGCGTTTACATAAGAAAAGAGTTCAACTCCCACAGGACTGGTTTGGGACACCAACATGGCCGCCGTTTCATTGTTTTGGGACACCAATATGGCCGCCGTGACGTCATGTGAAAACACTCTATTGGGAAAAGACTATTAGAATTTTTGAGAATGGGACTGGTATGGGCCCATACATGTATATGGTTATTTTGTTCATTAAAGCTTTTATGGCATCCATGCCAAGTCTGGCAAAGCCAGTAAATTATTGAAAACCTATAAGTTACATGTAGTGCTCAATGAAAAGGGCTGTCAACTAAAGGCTGGAGTCCAAGGATTTTCACCAGCTACTGTACCATGTGCCCAGGGGTTTAGCGTCCATATATACCCTTACACCCATGCGTACATGTGTAACTAAAATGTGGGGAAAAATATTTTATATTTCCTGAAAAAGCATCTTTTTTATCATTAAATCGCGATGACTGATACATCTTTTGCACTATATTGTGTTTGTGTTAGTAATTTCTTTTTTCCTTTTACTACCATAATTCTGACAGCCATCACTGGCATTTTTTCCATAAACTGTATACATTATTGAAAACACTAGAGATGGGTGAAAAAAAAACAAGTTTTACACTTTCCTGCCTATAAATTTACTGAAAATGTCCTGGAGAAAAGGCTGGAAATGGCATTTCTGAAACCCTACTGTAAAATTTTCTGGGAGAGCATGCCCCCAGACCCCCCCTCTAGGTTGGGCCACCTTTGGCACTATAACTTTTCTCCCCACATGAGTACACCTTTAAAGTCTCACACTATGCCCCCTGGAGCCTGATAACTGGAAAACAGAGTAACAGTGAGTTCAATTCCCTGCCTACTTATTGCATAAGTCCAGCAACTTTGAACCTCCGAAAATAGTGACAAAATGTCACAGGTGTTAGCAAATCCTGAAAGTAGCGATCCTCCTGATAATAACCACCCTCCGAAAGTAGAGACTTAAAAAATAATTTCCCTTTTTGCAGAAAATAACAGATATGATAGATATCATGAACAAATTAAATGCCACACTGATCTGAGGTTTATTAATGATGATAATTTGACATTCCTGTTCATAACCCTTAAAGTTCAGGATATGCATCACTTTTCACATTTCACATTTTTCGCGATTTTATTTTCTAAAGTGCCCATGTGGAGTACACGTTTTAGCAATCCTAAAGTTACGATCCCCCAAGAGTAGCAAGCCTCCGAAAGTAGTGATAGCAGAAGGGTGCTAAATCCAAAATTAACAAGGGTCGTTACTATCGGAACTTTACAGTACTCAATGTTAATGCTGATTTTGCTTTGCAGGAGAAAGAGAAGGAGACGAAACGGCTACCACTTGTTTCAAGTACTCCGTGGTCATTATTACTGCTGTCACTATCTCACTTGGCTTTGGCAGAGAAGGCTTATTTTTCTTTACCTTTCATTGCTAAGAAGTTCTTCAGAAAAGATGTATGTTTGAATTATTGAAAGATATTTCTTTGGTGGCCATTCATTATTATTATGTTAACTCTTTTACATCCTAAATCCTTATTGTTATTGTAATATATTATATAATAAGTACTGTTAGCCGGTTAAACTCAGAAAACTCCATACAAACCCTTCTAATTTTTTTTGGGTCGACCCAAAAAAAATTTAGAAGGGTTTGTATGGGGTTTTCTAAGCATAACTGGGCTATGATCTCAAAGACAATTTGCCCCGAAATGCTCATTTTTGGCAACTAGGCCTCTTGGACATTGTTCTTTCAGAATATCCTGACAAATCCCATAATTTCAGAAATTTCATTTTTATGACATCACATTTTAGTACTCTATGGTAATTTTTTTATTGTGTTTTTAAATAATAGTATTAATGATATTGAAAATTTTAATAATGATGGTACTGATAACAATTATAATGACAATATAATTAGATTATAAATATTAACCCAAGGAATAGGTTACAAAATACTTGGCAAAATAAAAACTATGTTTTATTACTTTTAATATGTATTATCTTTTTGTGTACAGTCTGTGCGAGACAGCTTCAAGACTCTAATAACAGAGTTGAAGAAAATAGAAGAGACGTCACACACTGCCTCTTCCACAGGGTCCCCAGTTGAAGGAAGTTTGTTGGCAGAGCTGTGCAGACATTTAAGCCAGTTTGCACAGGCTAGGCAGGAATTAATTGACTTGTATCTTTTAGAACTTAGCTGTGTATAGGACAGCAACCAAAAAACTAGTGCATACTTCCCAGTAAAAAATCAATAATATCTATTTTTTATTATTCTGTTACTACTAGTTTGATGGAAAGTAGATCTTTATTTGTGCAGCAACCTTTAATTTTCTCAGAATTTATACTAGTTGTAAACACCCGTTCAATTTAATTGGGACTCGTTCAATATAATTGGGACTAATTGCTGTTAGCTGTTATTGCCTGTTATCAGCCATTAGAGCCAATCAGGATCAAGATTATCTTTGGCTAAGAGCTAGTCTAATGTTATCAGATAACAAACCCATTAGATCCAATGGCAAGCTTGTTAGTGAATAACGGGATAACAGCTAATAACAGCTAATAATACTTCACCCATTATACCCAATCACAAGATTGTTAGAGAATAACGAGATAATATGCTACATTCCACTAGTGTGAATTTGACCCGTGAGGTAAAAATCTATTTCACGACAAGTCAGTGCATCATTCTCGAGTACATACTAGAAGGTTGCACGCATATATGAACATTTGATCCATTAACTGCCGTGAACTCATCTAAAACTCTTTTTGGTTTATTTATCATGTTTTTGAAAAACGTCAAAATTTTACCGTTTTCAAATAACTGATAGGCTTTTTAACCCAGCACCTACAAAACAGTGGAATGTTCAAGAATAGAACAAGAAAATCAGAAAATTACTTTATGATCTTTGAAGAAGCGTAGCTCATAACAAGCATGCAACTATCCAACGATCTCTCGATAATAGGTCAGTGATACAATAGTTGTAAATAGGAAACAGAACAAATCAACACTGCCCAGAGGAAGTTTATCAGTTATCAAGTGACAATTTAGGGGCACCCAACGAGAATATTGTTCAAAACCACTTAAACATAGCATTGTTAAACGTATTTTAGTATTTAAACCGTAGATATAGGCATAGTTTTATCCCCTAAAAATTTTTCATCTGTTCGGATTTCCTAGCTGAAAGTCTCGTGATCCGAAAATCATAGGGATCAAAACTTACCTTTCCGAAAATTTCAGCCAGAAAAAAGGCTCCCGAAAATTCTAGGTGAGCTTTTTAGGATAAAAATCCATTAAAAATGGGCAATTACACCAATTTTTAGATGTTCGAGAATCCTAGGAGAGGT